CCTCGTGTTATTGCTGCTCTCACCTTTGATGTTAGGAGTCCTTAGCTGGTTACTGGATCTTCTTTTATTGTTCTGACCCTTGTCCATTGGCTGTGGCTTCGGGTGAATTGTAGGCGATGGGTGAATGTAGTGGAGTATCACTTCAGTGGCAGCGGGGTAGGAGGTGTAGTATGAGTCCTATTTGTTGGTAATTTGTGAACTTTTGGGTGATTTCTGCAGTTGCTTTATATCATTCTGGGTATCCACATATGTTAGTGCTATGCGGGTCTTGATTAGGTCATCACTGGGCTGCTGGGAACCTTAATGCATCAGTCCACCTAGATAGTGACAAAGTATGCTTTAAATCTTAAAGCAGATTCAAGAAAATAATTAGTACGTACACACATTTTTGTGTACAGGGTGTTCCAGAAGTCGGAACCCATAAAAAAGTACAGTGGACCCCCGCATAACGATGGCATCGCATAGCGATTTTTCCGCATAACGATTACTTTTATCGCAAAATTTTTGCCGCGCATACCGATTAAAAACCCGCATACCGATTTTCGTCCGAGACGCGTCCAATGTGCCCTCAGCCAGCCTCACATGTGCCGCTCCGTCCCATTGTTTACCAGCCAGCCTCCGCGGTAACATCCAAGCATACACTCGGAATATTTCGTATTATTACAGTATTTTCGGTGCTGTTTCTGGAAAATAAGTGACCATGGGCCCCAAGAAAGCTTCTAGTGCCAACCCTACACCTCAAAGGGTAAGAATTACTATAGAGATGAAGAAAGAGATAATTGATAAGTATGAAAGTGGAGTGCGTATAGCCGACCTAGTCAAGCTGTACAAGAAACCCCAATCAACCATCGCTACTATTGTGGGCACCAGAAAGACAATCAAGGAAGCTGTTCTTGCCAAAGGTTCAACTGTGTTTTCGAAACAAAGATCGCAATTGATGGAAGATGTTGAGAGACTCTTATTGGTGTGGATAAATGAAAAACAGATAGCAGGAGATAGCTTCCCCTCAAGCGATCATATGTGAAAAGGCTAGGAAGTTGCATGAGGAATTTAATTAAAAAAATGCCTGCAACTAGTGATGATGTGAGTGAATTTAAGGCCAGCAAAGGTTGGTTTTGAGAGATTTAAGAAGCGTAGTGGCATCCATAGTGTGATAAGGCATGGTGAGGCTGCCAGTTCGGACCACAAAGCGGCTGAAAAATATGTGCAGGAATTCAAGGAGTACATAGAAACTGAAGGACTGAAACCTGAACAAGTGTTTAATTGTGATGAAACAGGCCTGTTCTGGAAGAAAATGCCAAGCAGGACCTACATTACTCAGGAGGAAAAAGGCACTCCCGGGACATAAGCCTATGAAAGACAGGCTTACTTTGTTGATGTGGGGCCATGCTACTGGTGATTGCAAAGTGAACCCTTTTAATTAGTGTATCACTCTGAAACTCCCAGAGCGTTCAGGCAAAAGAATGTCCTCAAGGATAATTTGTGTGTGCTTGGAGGGCAAACAGTAAGGCATGGGTCACTGGGGAATTTTTCTATAACTGGTTACACCATGCATTTGCCCCCAATGTGAAAAATTTACCTAACTGAAAAGAAATTAGAACTTAAGTGCTCCTGGTGTTAGACAATGCCCCTGGTCATCCTACAGACGTGGCAGAGCGATTTTAGGGGACATGAGCTTCATTAAGGTGAAGTTTTGCCTCCTAATACCACTCCTTCCTGCAGCCCATGGACCAGCAGGTTATTTCCAACTTCAAGAAACTGTACACAAAAGCTCTTTTTAAAAAGGGGGCTTTGTAATGACCTCAGAAACTCAATGACTCTAAGAGAGTTTTGGAGAGATCACTTTAATATCCTCAATTGTGTAAACCTTATAGGTAAGGCTTGGGAGGAAGTGACAAAGAGGACCTTGAACTCTGCTTGGAAGAAACTGGGGCCAGAATGTGTAGACAAAAGGGATTTTGAAGGGTTTGAGGCTAACCTGAGAATCCTTCCCAGTTGAGGAATCCATTGTGGCATTGGGAAAGTCCTTGGGTTGGAGGTTAGTGGGGAGGATGTGGAAGAGTTGGTGAGGAGGACAATGAAGAACTAACCAAATGATGAGCTGATAGATCAACTTCAAGAGCAAGAGGCCAGACCTGAGAAACTGGTTCAAGGGGGGGGAGAGAGAAATTGAAGAAGTTGCCTACTACAAAGATAAAGGAAAAACTGTGCTAAGTGGCTTGAAGTGCAAACCTTCATGGATGAAAAACACCCTCACACAGCTATTGCAAGCCGTGCTGGTGATTATTACACGACAATGTTGTGAAACACTTTTGGCAAGTCATAAAGGAACGAGAGGTACAGGCCACTATGGACAGATATTTGTGCGAAAGAAGTCCAGTGACTCTGAAGCTGGCCCCCAGTGGGATTAAAAGAAAAAGGGAAGTAACCCCAGAAAAGGACTTACTACCTCAAGTCCTAATGGAAGGGGATTCCCCTTCTAAACACTAACACACTCTCTCCCCTCCTCCCATCCCATCAATCATCACCAGATCTTCAATAAAAGTAAGTGTCATTTAATTGTGCATGCCTTTTTCAGTTTGTGTGTATTAAAATTAACATTTCATGTGGTAAAAAAAATTTTTTTTCATACTTTTGGGCGTCTTGCACAGATTAATTTTATTTCCATTATTTCTTATGGGGAAAATTCATTCGCATAACGATTATTTCGCATAACGATGAGCCCTCTTGCACGGATTAAAATCGTTAACCGGGGGTCCACTGTATACAGTTTACACACATAATATTCATACTGAATGGTAAACGTAAGGAAATTAAAACTATCGAATTATAAAACAAATTCCAACCACACAACAGAGCGAAAAACTAATGTAAAAGACCTGGAAGTGATCATGTCAGAGGATCTCACCTTCAAAGACCATAACAGTGTTATCAATCACATCTGCTAGAAAAATGACAGGATGGATAATAAGAACCTTCAAAATTAGGGATGCCAAGCCCATGATGACACTCTCCAGGTCGCTTGTTCTATCTAGGCTGGAATATTGCTGCACACTAACAGCACCTTTCAGGGCAGGTGAAATTGCTGACCTAGAAAATGTACAGAGAACCTTCACCGCATAACTGCGATAAACCACCTCAGTTACTGGGAACGCTTAAAGTTCCTAAACCTGTACTCCCTAGAACGCAGGAGGGAGAGATACATGATTATATACACCTGGAAAATCCTAGAGGGATTAGTACCAAACTTGCACACGAAAATCACTCCCTTTGAAAACAAGACTCGGCAGACGATCCAGCATCCCCGCAATGAAAAGTAGGGGTGGCACTAGCACATTAAGAGACAACACAATAAGTGTCAGGGGCCCAAGACTGTTCAACTTCCTTCCAGCATACATAAGGGGGATTACCAATAGACCCCTCGCTGTCTTCAAGAAGGTGCTGTTCAGGCACCTAAAGTCAGTACCTGACCAGCTGGGCTGTGGTTCGTATGTTGGGTTGTGTGCAGCCAACAGCAATAACCTGGTTGATCAAGCCCTGATCCACCATTAGGCTTGGTTACAGACTGGGCCGCGGGGGCGTTGACCCCCGAAACCCTCTACAGATATACACATTAATTCTTTTACTATTTTTTGCCATTTCTTGAAAGGTAAACATTGATCTGATTTGATCAGGAGAAAGACTGGACTACTGTGCTGAAATACTCTCTGGTGTCTGGATAGTGTGTGTGCACATTTTCTCTTGCTTTATTGCTAAGAATGTCAATGTAATATGGCATGTAGGTAGTTTAGGTATTTTAGCATCCAGAATCAAAGAATACCAGAAAAGCAATCTAGAGCAGTAACTTGACTGAATCTGCTCACACAGTACCTGCAGAAAAATAAGAAAGGCCCAACATCATCTTTTTCTGTAAGGGTATGTTTACATACATGAGTGACTGTATCATACCTGTAGCTTTCTTGGAACCTGCCAAACTACTGATGCACTAGGACTCAAGTCCAGTGCAGTCACACTCCTTTGTGAAGTAACGTGCTGAGTTTCAAGTGCAGTCAGTCATTCCGTTAAGGTTAGACTGGCATTTTTCGTCGTTTTGTCAAGAGTGTTGCGATTTTTTGTGTAACAATGAAACCTGAAAGAACAGTGAGTGTGTGAAATTGTATTTGAAGCTTGGTAAAACGGCTAGTTAAAGTCACAAAATACTTAAGGAAGCATTTAGTGATGAATCAATAGGTCGGACAATTTTCTCAGTTCAAATCAGGACAAATGTCAGTTGAAGATGATGAACACTGGTCATCCATCACCATCAAAAAACAAATGCCAACACTGAAAAAGCGAAGAAAACTATTCACGAAGATCATTGTCAGAGTATCCAGGACACTGCAAGTGCTGTAAGAATTTCTAATAGGTCGTGTTAAAGCACTTGAACCTAAAATTTGAACATGAGCTGAGTGGCTGCAAAATTTGTGCCCTACTTACTGACTCAAAACCAGAAAGACCATCACTTGGAAATTTGTTAGGACGTCAAAAACAAGCCGAGGATGCCTCTGCTCACACGACAATGTCTCCAGCATTTTCTGGTCAAAAACAACATAGAGGACATACCCCATCCTCCATACTCTCCAGATCTAGCCACTGTAACATCTTTCTCTTCCCAAAAATAAAAATGGCACTCAAGGGGCATCGTTTTAACAATGTGAGGAGATTCAGGCAGAATTACAGGCCTCATTGGACACCATTAGGAAAGAAGAGTTTCAGAAATGTTTGAAGAAGCGGTAGAGGCACTGGGATCACTCTATACTCTCTCAGTGGGAGTACTTCAAGAGACAACTTCAACTAGGTGATTAGGCAAACCTATATATTTTTTCATGGCAGTCTAGGAGCTTTTCGATAGCACCTTGTATATATGCTGTGTGTAGTGCAGGCTACTGAATTGTACATTTATTGCTTGAAATATAGATGGTGTTAACAGAATAATGTACCTTGATGGTCTTCCCCAACAGCTCAAACTGGCGGATGAAGAACGCAAGGGCAATGTGAACCAGGCCAAACTTATGACTAAGTGGAGGGAAGTGTTGAGGCAAAGTAAGACTTCCACCCTCACCACCCAGCTGAAGGTACACCCTCACCACCCAGCTTCAGTTACTCCCTTCATCATCCAGCTTCAGTTACTCCCTCACCACCCACTTTCAGATACCTTCATTATACAGCTTCAGACACACCTTCATTATCCAGCTTCAGGCACATCTTCATTATCCAGCTTCAGGCACACCTTCATTATCCAGCTTCAGGCACACCTTCATTATCCAGCTTCAGGCACACCTTCATTATCCAGCTTCAGGCACACCTTTGTTATCCAGCTCCACCTTCATTATCCAGCTTCAGGCACACCTTCAGCACTCAGTTTTGTGTATACAGATACTGGTTCTACACACAGGTGTACACTGAAGTGCACATGTTCTTTTCTGCAGGAATTAAAGACACGAGTGGCAGAAACAACTAAGCAGCAGGAGCGTCTGATCCATCTTCTGTCCTCCCAAGTGAACCAGGCACAATATCAGAGAACTCGGGCTGCTCACAACCATCTCTCGGCTGTCCACAAGCTCACAGGCGAGTATCCTTACATCCAGCAGTTACTCTTGTTAGTAAATTTGTCAAGGAAATAAAAAATTTACTTAATGGTGGCCTGGTGGCTAACGCTCTCGCTTCGCACGGCGAGGGCCTGGGTTCGATTCCCAGCCAGAGTGGAACATGGGGCATGTTTCTCTCCACCTGTTGTCTATGTTCCCCATCAGTAAAATGGGTACCTGGGTGTTAGTCGACAGGTGTGGGTCGCATCCTGGGACACTGACCTAATTTGCCCGAAATGTTCAGCATAACAAGGGGCTTTCTATATAGTAGTATGTCATTGATGTCAGCTCAGCCTGTATACCATGTACATATACTTGTAGTAAATAAAGATATTATTATTATTATTATTATTATTATTATTATTATTATTATTATTAAAATGACTTTTAGGTTACATATAAGCAATAGCATCTTTATTATGCACTCAGTACCCATTCTCTGGGTGGTAGTCAACAGATTACAAATACATTGTGAGTCCAGGGACTGGGCAGCAAAGTTTTGATAGCTAAACAAGTTACAGTGGCAATTATTATTATAATCATGGGGAGCGGTAAACCTGTAGGATTATACAGCGCCTGTGATAGGGGGATGGAAGGTACATATTCAGGCTCAATTCAGGGAACTGGAGCATAGATCCAAATCCCTAGATCAAGAGCCCCTCACCAGCATCAAGGAACCTCCCTTGAGGGGGATACAGTGGTAATGAACTGTTTACATGTTTATTTCTGGTCACAATTGTAATGAGTTATTTATGCAGACATTAATTAGGTCTCTCTGTCTGTCTCTGTATCTCTCTATCTCTCTGCCTGTTTCTCTCTCTCTCTCTCTCTCTCTCATATACACAAAGTTGTTATACAGCCACATCAGGAGGAAAACAACAGTCAAGGATCAGGTAATCAGGTTGAGGAAGGAAGGAGGGGAGCTCACAGGGAATGACCAGGAAGTATTTGAAGAGCTCAGCTCAAGATTCAGGGAGGTATTCACAGTGTAGACAGAAAGGCTTCCAGCAAACCAAGGTGGTAGAGTGTTGGGGAGAGGAGTGGGATTAAATTATGGTGAATCAAATACAAATTGGGAGTTCTGTAAATGTAGAATGCACAGTATTAAGAGAGAATGTTTTGTGTAGTGAGTAGGTTTAGGTCTTTTAAGTGTGGGGAGGGTTGTCTAGTAGTTTACTGTATGATCATTCGCACTGCAACGTTTTGTTGGGTTATTATTGGCTTTAGGTGAATTGATGATGTGGATCCCCAGGCACAAATATCATAGGTGAGGTCAGGGTAGATCAGTGAATAGTATAGTGTAAGTAGTGCTGTTTATGGTACAAAATAATGTATCTTTGAGAGGATGTTATCTGTTTTTGATACTTTTTTTTTTTGTTATGTGTTGGATATGGGTGTTGAATTTCAAGTTGCTGTAAAGGTGCAAACCCAGAAATTTTTCCCGCATTATGTTTAGCAATGAAGGTATTGTTAAGCATAATGCTTAGACCCCACTTGCTTTGCATCCAAACATAATATAGAAGGTTGTGTAAGTTTATTAGCAGTCATCCATGTTGATATTTTTACAAGTTCTTCACTAACAATAGTGTTGAGTGAGGCAAAATTAGGGTGGGAGATGACAAAAGTTGTGTCATCAGCAAAGAGAATAGGTCAAAGTTATTGCAGTATATATTTGGAAGATCATTGGTATATAAAAGGAAAAGTAGGGGGCCAACAATGCTTCCCTGCAGTATGCCAGTGTCCAGAGGTCTTGTTGTGGAGGTTGTGTCCTTAATAGCAATGTATTGTTGTCTATTATTTAGGCAAGACTTGATTCATGCAAGTGCATGGCCTCTTTCCAGAATAGTTTGTAAAATACCACTGTGGATAAAATACTTTGACATTTCTTGAACATTTCTGAGCGAGTTGAATCTGAATTCATTAATTTTATCGTATTCCAGCACATAATGATGCAAGGTGTGACAGTTGTCCATCAGGCACACTTTACATTTCATTTGGTCTGTATCTAGTGGTGGTGTTTTAACCTCCCAAAGATACTTGTATCCCAGCCAGAGAAGGGCAATAGACATCTAAGAGTTTGCTAATTTTGTTGGATGCACTATTGACATGTGGCTCCTTCTGCATGATAGAATAATGACAGATGGATTGACTGGTGTCAGTCTCCCTCATTCTTAAGTTCATTTGAAGTTCTTTTCGTATTATTGTTCTCAAGCTGCTAACTGATAGCCCAAGATTGTAATCTACTCCCTCTTTGAAGGTATATAACTCAGCCAATTTATCAGTTCTATCATGCATCTGAAGACCAGTGTGAGATGGAATCCACGAACGGTGCACTCCAACTCCACTGTCCACAATCCTACCATACCTGTCTGGCTTCTGACATAAGCATGCCATAATTTATACTTAAGGAGTTGAAAGCCTTTAACCCTTAAACTGTCCAAGCAACTTTACGTTCACATGCATAGTGCTCCAAAAGTAAATCTACGTTTTTTTACATATTTTCGAATATAACAAAAAAACGTAGATCAAAGTTTTTTTACACGTTTTCAAATGTAAAAAAAAAAAAAAAGAAGATCTACGTTTTTTTTACATACTTTCAAATGTTGAAAAAACGTAGATCTACGTTTGGACAGTTTAAGGGTTAAGGATGATACAGAATCATTTACAGTTTAAGTGTCAGTCTTAGATATATGGATGCATTTGGGTGCAAGGAGTATGGCAAACACATCATTAACGGGGTAGAGGCCCAGTTAGTGATGTGTGCTCCAGTTTCCTAATGAGAGCCATCATTATGCTCTGTATGACAACAGTAGCACTACTAGCTGCACCAGTGGATTGGTGAAGAGAACCATCAACATAAATAATTTGTGAAAAAGTGTGCTATGTGACAGTCATCAATACAGTGTCAATATTTATTATTATTATTGTTAATTTGAAGGAGGAGGAGTTTGGTTGTACAAGTGCCTAGTAATTGGTCAGGAAGTGTTCAGAAATACATAAGATTATATGAGTTGGAAAAACAACATTGTTATAAAGGATTGTGTGCACAACTGACTACTAAAACTATATTTAAAGAAAGCATTCACAGTACTAGATAATGAAGGATGAGATTGCAGAGTTGAAGAAACAATTATAATCATAGTTCGAGAGTAGATACCGATGAAGGGCTTTTGATCCAAAGAATTGTAGCTGTCCACCCCATTCTCTAATTGCTCCATGAACCTCCTAATGTTAATTGATTTCACTTGTTTGATTATATATTTGGAATTAGTTATTTGTAGCTAAGGGAGAAGGGCTAGGCTCTCAATGTCCTGACTTTGGTATTTAGGCAATCATAAAAAATTCCAAAGCTTGTAGTTATTTAGAGAAGTACACTTTTGATAATACAGGACTTGTTGTGTGTTTGTTGGCAGAGTTGCACGAGGAACATGTGGAAGTGTTAAATAGACACATGCGGGCAGACGAGGCACAGGTAGTAGGTAGCCAGGCAGCAGGGACAGAAGACATGGCTGCTACACACCTTCACAACCTTCGCCGCCTCTCTCTTGTCAGCCAGGCTTCACACAGACATCACAACTTTACTGAGAGGGAAGAACTGGCAGCCTTCCACACCACCACCACTCACCTCACTACTCAGGTCTGTGTTCTCATCACCACATCCACCACCCTCCAGGTATACTCCAGGACTTCACCACTCAGGTTTTGTCTTTTTTTTTTTTTTCAGCACACTGACCATCTCCCACCTGGGCAGGGTTATTGGAAAAAGAAGAAACCACTTTCACCATCAGTCACTGTCTTGCCAAAAGCACTGACATCACAAATCAGATGAACCTCTAAACTGCAATATGCTTCCTTTTCCCTCAGAGTGAAGATGCCATACTTTCGATTTCCTACAAACTGATTTTCCACATTATCCTTAATTCTTTAATAATTCTGCCATATACTTAACCTGGCATACTCAGCAGGCTAATATCCCTATAATTCTTACATTATCTGTTATCCCTATTTTCCCCTATATATGCTTTCTGCCAATATCTAGGCACATTTTCCTCTTCCAGGCATTTATTGAACAAATGCACTCATGTTTAACATTTCTGTCTTGATTCCATGTATCCCAGCTGCATTACCCTTTTTCATTCCACCCATTGCCTCATGCTCACATCTGGCTCTTCCTCACTCCTAAAAGATATTATACCTCCCTGCATAATGCATGAAATCACTCCCTCCATCACTTCATCAGCATTTAACAGCTCCTCAAAATATTCCCTCTATCTCTCCAATACCTCCACTTTTCCCTTTCATAACTCCCCTCTTTTGTTTTCAACTGTTAAATCCATTTGTTACTTAGGCTTTCTGAACATGATCTCGATCCAAAAAAATTCTTACTTTCAGCAAAATTTGTTAATAAAGCTTCATCCATTCTCTCATTACCTCTCCTTTCACACTCCCTCACCCCCACAGAGAGAGAGAGAGAGGGGGGGGGGGAGGTAGGTAGGTACATAGGTACATGTGTGCTGAAACTTATGTACCAACTCTTGTACCGAGGTGTGTATGCTGAGACACGTACATTTACTGAACCATGTACTGACACACTTTCCGAGATATGTGTACAAAAATGTGTGTACCTAGATGTGTGCACTGAAAAAATTCCTTTCCTGGGGTGTGTGGGCAGCACAGCTGGAGGAGGAGGTAGCAGCAGCACGAGTGGAGAGGGAAGCTGCTCTGGAGGAAGCATGGGCAAGGCTGGCACTCTCTCTGAGGGATCACCAACAGCACACTGCTTCCCTCAGGGACACCTGCAACCACCTACAGCAGCGAGTGTCGAATAACCACACGAACCTCACCAGCATCAACAATGCTATTATGGACATGCAGGTGAGTATTCTATCACTTATCCTCATCAACAGTTATCAGGTTATTTGTGATCCTTAATGCTTCCTCAGTTTTTGTGATTTCCTGTTTACTTTTATCATTATAATAATCATAACTTAGAATATATTGCTTAACTAGATTCATATGTAATAATAGATATGGATAATAATCTTCTTTCAACACACTGGCTGTATCCCACCGAGGCAGGGTGGCCCAAAAGGAAAAATGAAAGTTTCTCCTTTTACATTTAGTAATATATACAGAAGGGGTTACTAGCCCCTTGCTCCTGGCATTTTAGTCGCCTCTTACAACACGCATGGCTTACGGAGGAAGAATTCTGTTCCACTTCCCCATGGAGGTAAGAGGAAATAAACAAGGACAAGAACTAGAGAGAAAACCCAGAGGGGTGTGTATATATATGCTTGTACATGTATGTGTAGTGTGACCTAAGTGTAAGTACCAAGACGTACCTGAAATCTTGCATGTTTATGAGACAGAAAAATGGATACCAGCAATCCTATCATCATGTAAAACAATTACAGGCTTTTGTTTTACACTCACTTGGCAGGACAGTAGTACCTCCCTGGGCGGTTGCTGTCTACCAACCTACTACCTTTAATGGATAATAATGTTTATACTATAATAATATAGGTGTGTCATGCTTATGTGACTTTTAAAAGGTAATACATCACAGGGAAGCAACATATTCCTTGTAATTTCCTTGTATAAGTAAAGTGGAATTTATTCTTATAATGGGATACAAAATTTCTCAAAAAACTAGAGCCAATTAGGCAAAACCAATGACATATTCAGAATCAGCACCACAAACTTACTCTAAAATCGGTGTAATATCATTGACCCGAAAATGAGTATTCAACAGAGTAATTAATGTACGCCTCCTAGTGTGTATTAAATCCCACACAGCAGGGAAGATTGATAGAGGTTGACCAATTTTTGATTCAGTCTGCCTGAATGAGGTATCAGGATATTCCACCAATGTAATAAATGGGTAAGTACATTAATTTGTTATATGAAATTATGTGCTTAATAAATATAAAATTATAGATCAAATAAAATACTTAAATCAGTCAAATCCACTTCTATTCTTAATTATACAGTCTACTAAATGGTAAGTCTACTGATGTAAATTTTTATAATAAATATACAGGAATCATATGTTCCTAATCCAAGGTCCTGAAGTTATTTGAGGAGCTGAGACAGTGGACAGTGAAGAAGGGACATTGCAACCCCAGTGTTCCTAAACTCCCACAAGTCTCCAAGATACATCAGCATCAGTAATTTACAAATTGTTTTCATGTCAAGAGTTCTCCCAGGGGGTGATTATAAGGTTAATTCGAGATTGTGTTGTGGTGAAAATCCCCTGCTTAATTTCTTTCTTTCTTTCAACAAACTGGCAGTATTCCACTGAGGCAGGGTGGCCCAGAAAGAAAAACAAAAGTTTCTTTTTTTAAATTTAGTAATTTATACAGGAGAAGAGGTTACCATCCCCTTGCTCCTGGCATTTTAGTTGCCTCTTACAACACGCATAGCTTACGGAGGAAGAATTCTGTTCCACTTCCCCATGGAGATAAGAGGAAATAAACAAGAACAAGAACTATTAAGAAATTAGAAGAAAACCCAGAGGGGTGTGTGTGTATATATATATGCTTGTACATGTATGTGTAGTGTGACCTAAGTGTAAGTAAAAGTAGCAAGATGTACCTGAAACCTTGCATGTTTATGAGACAGAAAAATGGACACCAGCAATCCTACCATCATGTAAAACAATTACGTACAGGCTTTCGTTTTACACTCACTTGGCAGGATGGTAGTACCTCCCTGGGTGGTTGCTGTCTACCAACCTACTACCTAGACCCATATAATTTATAACAATTATATTCACTTTTTTATTGTTGCATAGATATATTTATTTATATAATGAATATACAGTATATCTAAATTTATCTCTATATTTTCCATTTACTGTTTGTGTGCCCATGGGTGAGCAGAGTGAGGTAGAGGAAGTGCGGAAGCAACTACGGCAGGTAGAGAGGCCATCAGCTGCAGCCCAGGAGCTGCAACAGTTGAAGAAGACAGTGATGGTATTGCGGGCAAGCTTGGCTTCACATTGTATTGCTCACAGGACGCTCATCAAAGCCATCAACAGGAGGGGCTACAAAGCCAAGATGGTAAGGGATAGAGGGAGGGAGGAAGGAGGAGGCAGAGAAGAGTTAAAGATGAGAGTTGAGCTGAAAGTTTGTTATACCAGGGTCTCTCGGGGGTGGGGTGGGGGGGGTGAGAGGTAGCTTTGTGTTGAATGGTTTATTTTATCTGAATGTAGGGTAGTATTTGTGGATTGCTCTGTTGGGACATATTTCTCCTCATGGACTATCACAGACAACAACACATGCTCATAAATGGCACACTTTCAACTAACCAACCAATTAATATAGGTGTTTTCCAAGGCATTATCCTGGGCCCCTCCTCTTCTTCCTATATACATATCAGTGAATGGTATCCATCATCTTAAGTCTGTGGTCTCTGTTGATGACATAACCACAATTTTATCATGGTTTGTCATACCCTGACTTTTAACACTAGATAATGCTAGGGTGTTCGGGAGAGGGGTGGGATTAAATTTTGGGGAATCAAATTCAAAATGGGAATTGACACAGTTACTTTTTGCTGATGATACTGTGCTTATGGGAGATTCTAAAGAAAAATTGCAAAGGTTAGTGGATGAGTTTGGGAATGTGTGTAAAGGTAGAAAGCTGAAAGTGAACATAGAAAAGAGTAAGGTGATGAGGGTGTCAAATGATTTAGATAAAGAAAAATTGGATATCAAATTGGGGAGGAGGAGTATGGAAGAAGTGAATGTTTTCAGATACTTGGGAGTTGACGTGTCGGCGGATGGATTTATGAAGGATGAGGTTAATCATAGAATTGATGAGGGAAAAAAGGTGAGTGGTGCGTTGAGGTATATGTGGAGTCAAAAAACGTTATCTATGGAGGCAAAGAAGGGAATGTATGAAAGTATAGTAGTACCAACACTTTTATATGGGTGCGAAGCTTGGGTGGTAAATGCAGCAGCGAGGAGACAGATGGAGGCAGTGGAGATGTCCTGTTTAAGGGCAATGTGTGGTGTAAATATTATGCAGAAAATTCGGAGTGTGGAAATTAGGAGAAGGTGTGGAGTTAATAAAAGTATTAGTCAGAGGGCAGAAGAGGGGTTGTTGAGGTGGTTTGGTCATTTAGAGAGAATGGATCAAAGTAGAATGACATGGAAAGCATATAAATCTATAGGGGAAGGAAGGCGGGGTAGGGGTCGTCCTCGAAAGGGTTGGAGAGAGGGGGTAAAGGAGGTTTTGTGGGCGAGGGGCTTGGACTTCCAGCAAGCGTGCGTGAGCGTGTTAGATAGGAGTGAATGGAGACGAATGGTACTTGGGACCTGAGATCTGTTGGAGTGTGAGCAGGGTAATATTTAGTGAAGGGATTCAGGGAAACCGGTTATTTTCATATAGTCGGACTTGAGTCCTGGAAATGGGAAGTACAATGCCTGCACTTTAAAGGAGGGGTTTGGGATATTGGCAGTTTGGAGGGATATGTTGTGTATCTTTATATGTGTATGCTTCTAAACTGTTGTATTCTGAGCACCTCTGCAAAAACAGTGATAATGTGCGAGTGTGGTGAAAGTGTTGAATGATGATGAAAGTATTTTCTTTTTGGGGATTTTCTTTCTTTTTTGGGTCACCCTGCCTCGGTGGGAGACGGCCGACTTGTTGAAAAAAAAAAAAAAATTTTTTTATAACACACCAGCTGTTTTCCACTGAGGCAGGGTTGACCAAAAAAGAAGAAACACTTTTACCATCACTTACTCCATCACTGTCTTGCCAGAGGAGTGCCGATACTACATTTCAAAACTGCAAATATCCCCACCCCTATAGATAATGTTAAACTAAAAAAAGGTTTACACCTGGATGATAGCAAATATATTCTCTGTTAATAAAGGTAAAACATTCTTCAGTACATATATAATTTATGGGGATAGACTGTGTCCACAATTAAATATTAAAATTAATAAATTTAAAGTAGAGAAAAAGGTAAAGATAGTTTCTAGGTCCATGTAAAGATAATAAGTTAAAACTTAACGCACATATCCAGCCCGTATAAAAGAGAATAAAAATCTGTAGGTTTACTCTCCAAAATGTTCTATTATTTTCTCTATTCAACTAACACTACTTCTCTCATACATACCCATATCTCACTTGCAAAATTTGTGCCTAGGGTTGTGCCTCAAACCAGTCATTACACAGCAAAATACAGCTATTTAGAATCTTCACAATCTCAGTGAGGCCACACACTGTCATTATTTAAAACCTAATCAGTATTAATACCATGTGTGAGCATGTTGTCATATGCGTGGGCATGTTAGATAGGAGTGAATGGAGATGAATGGTACAGGAGGGCCCCACTTATACGGCGGGTTAGGTTCCAGGCTACCGCCGTAAAGCGGAAACCGCCGTAAAGTGGAACACCCTTTTTTTCCACTTACAAATGCATACAAACACTAGATAACAAGTTTACACTAACATATATTATGTTAGCAATAGAACCAGGCATCAAAAAAAACAATAAAAAAGTACAATACACACATAGTGCACTCATTACTTACCTTAAAATATTTATAGTCTTAATCTAGGGTGAGACAAGTAGTATTTATTGTAAGAAATCAAGTGTGGTATGTATGGTAGTCAGCCAGGCTACCATACCAGGCCACCCCACCCACACATACTATTCTATGATATTTAAGCATCCCAGAGCGATAAAATGTATATACAGTTCACTCATTACTTACCTTAAAATATAGGGTGAGATGAGTAGTATTTATTGTAAAAAATCAAGTGTGGTATGTATGGTAGTCAGCCAGGCTACCATACCAGAGAGAAAGAATGAGTGCATGAGAGAGGACAGGCGCAGAGTTATGTAAACAAACCAGGCGAAGGTAAGTTTTGTAAACAGTGTACACGTCTGGTTTGTGTACAAGTTACATTGTGTACAGGTTGTCTCTACATTGATACGGTAGAATAAATAAAGAAGAACACTCCCATTCTCATGTAACATCATTTTGAGAAGAAATGATGCTCTGAGTGAAGGCAATGGAAGTAAGTCACTCTGACTTTTTTGGGTTATCCTAGGTTCTCTACACATATGTTGTTATGTATTTATGTTATGTATCGTGTTTATTATATAATTTTGAAAAAAATATCACGGATGGATTAATGAAAATGTGTATATTAACGTAATATACAACATTTAATGATACACCGAGCTCAGACAGCGTAAACAAACAAACTGAACAGGTTGTGGACGATCACTCGGTCAGGCGAAATAGACGGTATTAATACGTGTCCAGTTTTAGTTCATTCATGTACATTTGTAAGAGTTTGTGAAACTTTTACCTTATAATATTTTTATTATTATTATAATAATTAAATCACGAAACAAATACTCTTACACTGTGTACAAGTTAGTACAGAATTATAGCTATAAAGTGAAGGCATACGAAAGGAATATTTTTCTACAGTTATCCCTAGTAACAGGTGAGTTTACCTGGAGTTTACCTGGAGAGAGTTTCGGGGCTAGAGAAAACGTAATTCTTCCGACACTTCTACAAACTGTTTGGTAAACATCTCATATATATTTGTATAAATTTTTATACTGTGGGTGCATGTATCATGTTTGTGTGTTACATAATGTGTTTCTTATATAATTTTGAAAAAAATATCATAGATAGATTAAGGGAAATGTCTATATTAACGTAATATGCGACATTAATGCACCCAAGAGATTATTATTATTATTATTATTATTGCATCAAGAGTAGAGAGACTTAGTGATTTTAATGTGTACCTACATGCCAGCACAGTGTGTAAGTTTATTTAGGTATAGGTGTACACAAGTTTAATTATCAAGTACAATACATATAAAATATACAATAACTTTAAAACACTTGAAATTTTGGAAAGTTTCCAGACATAATAAGGAGATGTGCTCAGGGAGAATGTAAACAAACTCGGTGGGCAGCTGTGACCGTATTAGAAAGACAGGTGGGGGGAGCCGTATAGCGAGTTTTGGTCATAATTTGAAATGTCCGTATTAGCGGAACGCCGTAAAGCGAAACGCCGTAAAGCGGGGCCCTGCTGTATTTGGGACCTGATGAGCTGTTGGAGTGTGAGCAGGGTAATATTTAGTGAAGGGATTAAGGGAAACCAGTTATTTTCATATAGCCGGACCTGAGTACTGGAAATGGGAAGTACAATGGCTGCACTTCAAAGGGGGGGTTTGGGAAATTGGCACTTTGGAGGGATATGTTGTATGTCTTTATACGTATATGCCTCTAAACTGTTGTGTTCTGGGCACCTCTGCAAAAACAGTGATTGTGTATGAGTGAGGTGAAAGTGTTGAATGATGATGAAAGTATTTTCTTTTTGGGGATTTTCTTTTTGGGTAACCCTGCCTCGGTGGGAGACGGCCAACTTGTTAAAAAAAAATATTACTGTTCATGCTATATCTTAAAAATACTACACCATGATGCTGACTCTGACTTCGTATGCTTATTAGAAATTTGTAACACAACACACATGCATCACACTCAAAACAAGTAACTCGTATTCCTCATGCTTGCTTCTTTATAGAAACTCACTGCCAATAAAAGGGCAAAAAATGTGGAATAATTTGCCAGATGAATTAAATTTTTTAAGTTAATGAATCAAACAATCTAAAAAAAAAATTACATGCTTAATGTATTTCTTCTTCTTCTTTCAACAAACTGGCCATATCCCACTGAGGCAGGGTGACCCAAAAACGAAAAACAAAAATTTCTCTTTTTAAATTTACTAATGTACAGTGGAACCTCAAAAATCGAACTTAATCCATTCCAGGAGCTAGTTCTAAATTCGAAAAGTCTGAAATTCGAAATTTCCCATAAGAAATAATGGAAATACAATTAATCCGTTCCAGAAACCCAAAAATATTCACACAAAAAATACATTTTATAGAGATTAATTACAGTTTTACACAAAACAAATACTATAGTTTTTAATTATGTATAGTAATACATATAAAATAACATTTTTACTTACCTTTATTGAAGATTGGTGATGGCATCTGGAAGATAGGGAGGAGGAGAGAGGGAGTTGGGGTTAGTGTTTGGAAGGAGAATCCCCCTCCATGAGGACTTCAGGTAAAGCCCTCTCTGGGGTTACTTCCCTTCTCTGTCTTTTAATGCCACTAGGACCAGCTTGAGAGTCACTGGACCCCTGTCTCACAAAATAACTGTCCACAGTCCTCTGTTTCTGGCACCTCTTTAACATTTCCCTAAAATGGGACATGGTTCTGTCACTGAACTTGTTGCAAAGATGGCTTGTTTCAGCTTGCTCAGGATGGTACTTCTGCACAAACATTTGGACATCATTCCACTTAGCACAAATCTCCTTAATCTTTGAAGAAGGCACCTCATCCACTCCCTATATTAACACCTTTCGCAACATCAGCTTCTTTGATTTGTTCTTTCTTTGACAGGATAGAACCGATGGTCGACTTGTTTTTCCCATACATCCTGGCAAGCTCAACAAATCTCACACCACTCTCATACTTCTGTATTATTTCTTTCTTCACATCTATGGTATTTCTCACTTTCTTTACCACAGGGGTACCACTAGCAAGTTTCTTTGGGCCCATGGCAGCTTATTTCACAGTCCTACAAGCACTAAACACAACGAAATAATCGTAAAATGTGTGAATGAGAGCACAGGTTAGTGTTCACTCAAGCATAAACAAAGCTAGACTGCTCATGGCGCCTGCGTGGGGACGCAGACAGAGCGGGCCGGCAGACAGGTCCCGTACCCGGCAGTCCGAAAATAGGGGCACGTTCGATAACAGGGACACAGTTTGTCTGAAAAAATGGTCCTATTTTCGAAACGTTCGATATGTGATACGTTCGATTTTTGAGGTTCCACTGTATACAGGAAAAGGGGTTACTAGCCCCTTGCTCCTGGCATTTTAGTCTCCTCTTACGACACGCATGGCTTACAGAGGAAGAATTCTGTTCCACTTCCCCATGAAGAAAAGAGGAAATAAACAGAACAAGACCTAGTAAGAAAATAGAAGAAAACCCAGAGTGGTGTGTATATATATATATGTTTGTACATGTAAGTGTAAGTAGAAGTAACAAGACATACCTGAAATCTTGCATGTTTATAAGACAGAAAAAAGACACCAGCAATCCTACCATCATGTAAAACAATTACAGGCTTCCGTTTTGCACTCACTTGGCAGGATGGTAGTACCTCCCTGGGCAGTTACTGTCTACCTTCCTACTACCTAGGATTATGCAATTTTAGTGTTTTTATATACAGTACATATATAAATTTGTCCAGCATATTTTTTATTTTGTTAGTAAATAGTATTAGTCCTAACTTAATAAATCTACTTGAAATGCTACCCATAACTGAGCTTTTCATTGTAAGAGATATAATGCACACTGTTAACCTGCTATTGTAACTCAAAAGTAACTTCTTGGGAAATATAGTTATGATTATCATTATTATCATCACTTTTTCTGTCTGATAATTGAAAGACAAAGACCACCCTCTCTTCCCAGATCAGTGGTTCCTGTCCAACACATCATTGCTTTTTGCAGCAATTGGAGGAGACACTGAAGGTGGGGCGAGCAGTGCTGGAGATGGTTACTGCTTGTGACCGACTTGAGATGCATCAAGATCGCAACATTCCCTTCTTGCCACCACCACCCCCGCCCATTCTTGCTGCTGCCACTGCTGCCGTTGGCTGTCTGCGGACCCGCTTGGCAGCTCCTGTACCTCCTCCTTCCCACACCCTCATCAGTCTCAGTCAACCACAAGTAACATCTGCACTCCAGGGTTCCCTGACCCAAGTATTGTCTACCCCAGAGTCCCTGACCCAAGTCCCTACCCAGGTGTGATCCCCAAGGTTCCCTGATCTGAGTGTGGTCCCCAAATGTCCCTACCCAAGTGTGGTTACCCTGAGTTTGTAGCTCCAGTGTAGTTTTTCCAAGGTCCCTGACTCCAGTGTAGTTTCTCCAGGGTCCCTGACTCTGGTGTAGTTTCCCCAGGGTCCCTGACTCCAGTGGAGTTTCTCCTCGGTCCTTGACTCTGGTGTAGTTCCTGCAGGGTCCCTGACTCCAGTGAAGTTTTCCCTGGGTCCCTTACTCTGGTGCAGTTTCCCCTGCATCCCTGACTCCAGTACAGTTTCCCTTGAGTTCATGATTCCAGTGCAGTTTTTTCCTGGGTCCCTGACTCCAGTGTAGTTTCCCCTGCATCCCTGACTCCAGTGCAGTTTTCCCTGGGTTTATGACTGCAGTGTAGTTTCCCCAGGGTTCCTGACTCCAGTGTCATTACCATAGGGTCCCTGACTCTGGTGTACATCTATAAATACAATAGATTTAGTGTAGTTTATAGTGGCTACTCCAAGGTCAAGAGACAGGATCAAGAGCTGGGTCTCCTTAACAAACTGACCTATATGAGGTGCATAATTATTATACATTTAAGCATCTGCATGCTTTTCCTTTTTCTTGCCCTTTCCCTCCTTTGTCTTCTTTTGTCTTTTAGTTTTCTATTTTGCCTGTTGCTGCTTAGCCTTTTCCCTTTACTAAGTCACAAATTAACCTATCCATCCTTGGCTTTCACAGGAACTAGAAACACAGGTGGGGCTGTCGACAGAAACAGATGAAGGCTTGGGTGTTTCTCTGCCATCCTCCCAGGAGCCAGCTGTACCTACAAGAGTGAGTTTGTCTTAGTTCATCATGTGAGTGTCGATATCATTCTGTAGTGCAACTGTGTAGATATCAGTCTGTAGAGTGAGTGCATAGATATCATTCTGTAGTGCAAGGGTGTATATATCAGACTGTAGTGTGAGTGTGTAGATATCAATCTGTAGTGCGAGTGACCAGATATCAGTCTGTAGTGAGAGCATGTAGATATCAGTCTGTAGTGTGAGTGTTAAGATATCAGTCTAGTGCGAGTTTGTAGATACTGTATCAGTCTGTAGTGCGAGTGTGTAGATATCAGTCTGTAGTGAGAGCATGTAGATATCAGTCTGTAGTGCATGTGTAGATGTCAGTCAGTAGTGCAAGTGTGTAGGTATCAGTCTGTAGTGTGAGTGTGTAGGTATCAGTCTGTAGTGCGAGTGTGTAGGTATCAGTCTGTAGTGCGAGTGTGTAGGTATCAGTCTGTAGTGCGAGTGTGTAGGTATCAGTCTGTAGTGCGAGTGTGTAGGTATCAGTCTGTAGTGCGAGTGTGCAGATATCAGTCTGTAGTGCAGTTGTAGATGTCAGTCTGTAGTGCGAGTGTGTAGATATCATTCTGTAGTGCAAGTGTGTAGATATCAGTCTGCAGTGAGAGCGTGTAGATATCAGTCTGTAGTGCATGTGTAGATGTCAGTCTGTAGTGCGAGTGTGTAGTTATCATTCTGTAGTGTGAGTGTGTAGAAATCAGTATGTAGTGAGTGTGCAGATACATATCAGTCTGTAGTGTGAGGGGTGTGGGTCTCAGTCTGCCATGTGAATATTTGAGTCTTTGCCATGTGAATGTGTAGGTATCATTTCATCATGTGTGTGTGTGTGCCTTATCACTTCATCATGTGAGTGTGAGTCTCAGTCTGTCATGTGAGTGTATAAAATCAGTCCAAAATGTAAGTGTGTGTCTCAGTCCATTTTGTGAGTGTCTAGGCTGATGTGTTGAAAAAGATTTATATATATATATTTTTGTTTTTTTCAACATGTCAGACATTTCCCACTGAGGCAGGGTGACCCAAAAAAGAAAGAGACACTTTAACCATCATTCACACATAATCACTGTCTTTGCAGAGCACCCAGATATGACAGTTTGGATGTCACTCCAAACAGCCAATATCCCAAACCCCCTCCTTTAAAGTGCAGGTATTGTACCTCCCACCTCCAGGACTTAGAGTCCATCTAACCGGTTTCCCTGAATCCCTTCACAAAATATTACCCTGCTCACACTCCAACAGCTCATCAGGTCCCCCCAAAAATTTGACTCCATTCACTCATATCCAACATGCTCACACATGCCTGCTGCATGTCCAGGTCCCTTGCACACAAAACCTCTTATACCTCTTCCCCCCATCCTTTCCTAAGACAACCCGTACCTCTCTTCCCATCCTCTACAGATTTATGCACCCTCAAAGTCATCTTATTTTGCTCCATCCTCTCTGAGTGACCAAACTACCTCAACATCCCCCTCTTAAGCCCTCTGAATAATACTTTTAGTAACTCCACACCTCCTAATTTCCACACTAGAGATTCTCTGCATAATATTTACACCACACATTGTCTGTAGACATGACATTTCCACTGCCTCCAGCCTCCTCCTTGATGTTTCACACCCATATAAGAGTGTTAGTACAACTATACTCTTATACCTTCCCTTCTTGGCCTCCATGGATAACATTTTTTGTCTCTACAGATACCTCAATGAACTACTCACCTATTTTCCTTCATTTCTATGGTTAACCTTGTCTACTCCCAAATATCTGAACACATTCACTTCTTCCATACTCCCTTCCTCCAATGTGATATCCAATTTTTCTTTACCTAACTCATTTGATACCCTCATCACCTTACTCTTATCTATGTTCACGTTCAGTCATATGATCATACAGAGTAAAAGTAAAAAAAAGAATGTTCATTTTTACTTTAGCTTATTTTGTTTTAGTTTTTCCACATGTTGCACCCATCAATATCAGTGAGTCACACTATATTTCTTTGTCAGCTTTTACTCCACAATCAACACTTCTGTATGACTGATGATGCTTAAACAGCATGATACACTTTACACAGTTCTGCAACCATTATTTTGTCATCTTGAAATGATTGAGCTGAAGAGAAAAATGATAACAGTGATGACACACCAACACTATGAGTGTTAACATCATGTTTATCTGTGGCAATGTGCCATTCAACTGCATTTTTCCATGTGCCACTAATATCCACATCACAACGGCATAGTGTACAAAATGCATGAAAGTTCCTTTTTCTGCTTTTAACAATAAATCCAAATGCTTTGGTCCAGTCATGGTTAAATGTAGTCTTTCTTTTTGGCATTTCTTCAGGGGCTTAATTAAAGCAAGAAACAAAGTCAACCACTCCCACTGCAGCCTTCAGCAGACTGACCATGTCAGACTCCGTGTACCTGATTGATAGCTTGACTCATCTTGTACATGTGTACTGCAGCTCTGTGCATAGTGTTTCCAATGGCAACTATATAAAATTATAATAAAAATGCATCAGTGGTTATTGCCACCTTCAGTTCCCTCTGTTTTAGCACATATATGTAAGGTAATATACTGTATATAATTCTTTTTAGACAAGCCCTTTAAAGGAGGACAGATAAATGTCCTGCTTGAGGTGGTGCAGGATGGAGGACAGAGTTTTCAAAAGCAGGACTGTCTGGCTTAATGCAGAATGTCTGGCCAGCCTATTAGAGAGCAATGTCTGTATAATAGAGTTTAATTACTTGATTGGCAGGTAACTCCAAGGGCACCTACTAGTGTGGTGGAAACAGATGAAGGTGTTGGGTCTAGTATAGGGCTATCAGTAGTCCCAGTCTCTACCATCACCCACGGCAAAGTCACACTTCCTCGTCTTCCCTCTCCACTTACTCCAAATACCAGAGGTTTGTGCAGCTTTTTTTATATCATCATTTCAAAATTACATACAAGCCTTTTGGATTTTAGTACCGTAATAACAAGGATGGAAAGCCTGGAGGATTCTGACATTCTGTCAAGCTATAAGTTAGATATTAATTTAATTAATGATTTATAAAACCAACAAAAAGATGAATAAGTGATGTGCAACTCATGGGTATCTTTATTATTGAGACAGTTTGCCACCCAGGGATTTTATCAGTCAAATACAGAGAATGTTAGTATTGGAAGACATGAAGTAGTTTAAGGTGATCAGTCTCTCATCATTGCTAGGAAGTGTTTAGCCTATCATTTTTCCAGAGTGATGGGCTAAATGCTTCCTAGCAAGGTTGAGGTGACTGATCACCTCCAACTTCTTCTTCCAGTCTTCTACCCTCTTCAGCAGATCCATCAAGGCTGAGGGATTAATTACCTCAACTACTACTTCATGTCTTCCAGTGTTTCTGGTATTATTCTCAGTATTGCAAACATCCCCACAATAAAGATACCCAAAAGTTGTTCATGTCTTATTAAAGTTAGATAATAGTTTCAACTAATCCTTTCAAGGAGGAAGGGAAGGATGGGGGGACTTGATGTCAGAGAATGGCTCTGGATCAAAGAAATTGTAGTTGATCCCTCCTTCCTTAACCCTTAAACTGTCCAAACGTAGATCTACGTTCGCACATGTAGAGCTCCGAACGTAAATCTACGTTCGATCTTAATTTTATTTTTTTTAACAAGTTGGCCATCTCCCACCGAGGCAGGGTGACTCAAAAAGAAAGAAAATCTCGAAAAAGAAAATACTCATCATTCAACACTTTAACTTCACTCATACATAATCACTGTTTTTGCAGAGGTGCCCAGAACACAACAGTTTAGAAGCATATACAGTGGACCCCCGCATAACGATATTAATCCGTTCCTGAGAGCTCATTGTTATGCGAAATTATCGTTATGCGAATGAATTTTCCCCATAAGAAATAATGGAAATCAAATTAATCTATGCAAGACACCCAAAAGTATGAAAAAAAATTTTTTATCACATGAAATATACATTTTCCTACACACAAAGAGGAGGATACATGTACAATAGTAGAGTAGTACATGCACAATATATATTGTGCATGTACTACTCTACTAAATGAAGAATAAATGACAGTTACCTTTATTGAAGATGCAGCAATGACTGATGAGACACTGTGTCCTGGGAGTGCCTTTTCCTCCTGAGTACTGTACGTCCTGTTTGGCATTTTCTTCCAGAACATGCCTTATCACACTGTGTATGCCACTACGATTCTTAAATCTCTCAAACCAACCTTTGCTGGCTTTAAATTCACCAATATCAGCACTAGTTCCAGGCATTTTTCCCTGTTCACCTGGGTGTTAGTCGACTGGTGTGGGTTGCATCCTGGGAGACAAGATTAAGGACCTCAATGGAAATAAGTTAGACAGTCTTCGATGACACTGACTTTTTTGGGTTATCCTGGGTGGCTAACCGTCTGGGGTTAATTGTTTCTTGGTATTCGCAATAAGCCACGCCAACAACGGTGCTACAGCAGCAGCAGCTGACAGTGCTACAGCAGCAGCAGACGGTGCTACAGCAGCAGCAGACGGTGCTACAGCAGCAGCAGACGGTACTACAGCAGCAGCAGCAGCTGACGATGGTACAGCAGCAGCAGCAGCTGACGGTGCTACAGCAGCAGCAGCAGCTGACAGTGCTACAGCAGCAGCAGCTGACAGTGCAGCAGCAGCAGCAGCTGACAGTGCTACAGCAGCAGCAGCTGACAGTGCAGCAGCAGCAGCAGCTGACAGTGCTACAGCAGCAGCTGACAGTGCTACAGCAGCAGCAGACAGTGCTACAGCAGCAGCAGATGGTACTACAGCAGCAGCAGCTGACAGTGCAGCAGCAGCAGCTGACAGTGCTACAGCAGCAGCTGACAGTGCTACAGCAGCAGCTGACAGTGCTGCAGCAGCAGCTGACAGTGCTACAGCAGCAGCTGACAGTGCTACAGCAGCAGCTGACAGTGCTACAGCAGCAGCTGACAGTGCTGCAGCAGCAGCTGACAGTGCTACAGCAGCAGCTGACAGTGCTACAGCAGCAGCAGATGGTGCTACAGCAGCAGCAGACAGTGCTACAGCAGCAGCAGCAGCTGACGGTGGTACAGCAGCAGCAGCAGCTGACGGTGGTACAGCAGCAGCAGCAGCTGATGGTGCTACAGCAGCAGCAGCAGCTGACAGTGCAGCAGCAGCTGACAGTGCTACAGCAGCAGCTGACAGTGCTACAGCAGCAGCTGACAGTGCTACAGCAGCAGCTGACAGTGCTACAGCAGCAGCTGACAGTGCTACAGCAGCAGCTGACAGTGCTACAGCAGCAGCTGACAGTGCTACAGCAGCAGCTGACAGTGCTACAGCAGCAGCTGACAGTGCTACAGCAGCAGCAGATGGTGCTACAGCAGCAGCAGACATTGCTACAGCAGCAGCAGCAGCTGATGGTGGTACAGCAGCAGCAGCAGCAGCTGATGGTACTACAGCAGCAGCAGCAGCTGACAGTGCTACAGCAGCAGCAGCATCAGCAGTTCACCATGGTACCACAGTATTTCGATAATATTTCTCACCCTTTTTACCACAGGGTTGGCACTAGAAGCTTTCTTGGGGCCCATGGTCACTTATTTTGCAGATAAAATCACCAAAAACGCTGTAATAATGCGAAATGCTCCGATTGTATGCTTGGATGTTACCGCGGAGGCTGGCTTGTAAACATTGCCACCGGCGGAACATGTGAGGCTGGCTCAGGCCTCACATAGACGCGTCTCGGACGAATAGCGTTGAGCGAGTTTTTTAGCACTATGCGAGGCAAAATTTTAGTGATAAAATGTATCGCTGTGCGGATTTAACGTTATGTGATGCCAACGGTATGCGGGGGTCCACTGTACATATAAAGATTAAGTAGAATGTAAGCCAATAATGTTAAGTTGGCCCATAATGCCAAGGCATAATAGAGGCTCTCTTTGCATTGCAACCCACTATTGTATATACACAATCTCAATGTACTGTTTGCAAAGACATTAAATAAATAAATAAATAAATAAATAAATAAATACACAAAATATCCCTCCAAACTGCCAATATCCCAAACCCCTCCTTGAAAGTGCAGGCATTGTACTTCCCATTTCCAGTACTTAAGTCCGGCTATATAAAAATAACCGGTTTCCCTGAATCCCTTCACTAAATATTACCCTGCTCACACTCCAACAGCTCGTCATGCCACAAATACCATTAGTCTCCATTCACTCCTATCTAACATGCTCACGCATGCTTGCTGGAAGTCCAAGCCCCTCACCCACAAAACCTCCTTTACGACCTTTACAACGTTTTCGAGGATGACCCCTACCCTGCCTTCCTTCCCCTACAGATTTATATGCTCTCCAAGTCATTCTACTTTGATCCATTCTCTCTAAATGACCGAACCACCTCAGCAACCCCTCTTCAGCCCTCTGGCTAATACTTTTATTAACTCCACACCTCCAAATTTCCACACTCCGAATTTCCTGCATAATATTTACACCACACATTGCCCTTAGACAGGACATCTCCACCGCCTCCTCGCTGCAGCATTTACAACCCAAGCTTCACACCCATATAAGAGTGTTGGTACCACTATACTTTCATACATTCCCTTCTTTGCCTCCATAGACAATGTTTTTTGTCTCCCCATATACCTCAATGCACCACTCATCTTTTTTCCTTCATCAATTCTATGGTTAACCTCATCCTTCATACATCCATCTGCTGACACATCAACTCCCAAATATCTGAAAACATTCACTTCTTCCATACTCCTCCTCTCCAATTTGATATATAATTTTTCTTTATCTAAATCATTTAATACCCTCATTACCTTACTCTTTTCTGTGTTCACTTTCAACTTTCTACTTTTACACACATTCCCAAACTCTTACACTAACCTTTGCAACTTTTCTTTAGAATCTCCCTAAAGCACACTATCATCAACAAAAAGTAACTGTGTCAATTCCCATTTTGTGTTTGATTCCCCATGATTTAATCCCACCCCTCTCCCCAACACCCTAGCGTTTACGTCTTTTACAACCCCATCTATAAATATATTAAACAACCTTGGTGACATTACACATCCCTGTCTAAGACCCACCTTTACCGGGAAGTAGTCTCCCTCTCTTTTACACACGCTAACCTGAGCCTCACTATCCTCATAAAAACTCTTTACAGCATTTAGTAACTTACTACCTATATACTTGCAACATCTGCCACATTGCTCCCCTATCAACTCTATCATATGCCTTTTCTAAATCCATAAATGCAGTGAAAACTTCCCTACCTTTATCTAAATACTATTCACATATATGCTTCAATGTAAACACTTGATCTCCACATCCCCTACTCTAAAACCTCCTTGCTCATCCGCAATCCTACATTCTGTCTTGCCTCTATTTCTTTCAGTAATAACTTTTCCTGGTATACTCAGTAAACTTATTCCTCTGTAATTTTTACAATCTCTTTTGTCCCCCTTCCCTTTATATAAAGGAATTATACATGCTCTTTGCCAATCCCTAGGTACCTTCCCCTCTTTTATACATTTATTAAACAAAAATACCAACCACTCCAACACTATATCCCCCCCTGCTTTAACATTTCTGCCATGATCCCGTCAGTTCCAGTTTCTTTACCTCCTTTCATTCTACATAATGCCTCATGCACCTCCCCCACACTCACATCCTGCTCTTCTTCAATCCTAGAAGATGGTATACCTCCTTGGCCAATGCACGAAGTTACCGCCTCCCTTCGTCGACATTTTAAAGTTCCTCAAAATATTCTCGCCATCTACCCAATACCTCCATCTCCCCATCTACTAACTCCCCTACTCTGTTTTTAACTGGCAAATCCATTTGTTCCCTAGGCTTTCTTGACTTTTTTATCTCACTCCAAAATTTTGTATTTTCATCAAAATTTCTTGACAGTGCCCCTCCCACTCTACCATCTGTTCTCCTTTTACACTCTATCACCATTCTCTTCACCTTTCTTTTACTCTCCATATACTCTGCTCTTCATATAACACTTCTGCTTTGTAAAAACCTCTCATAAGCTACCTTTTTCTCTTTTAACACACTCTTTACTTCATTCCACCAATCACTCCTCTTTTTTCCTGCACCCACCCTCCTACAGCCACAAACTTCTGCTCCACATTCTAATACTGCATTTTTAAAACCCTCTTCAACCCCCCCCCCCCCCCAATACTCATACCTGCTCTAGCCCACCTTTCTGCCAGTAGTTGCTTATATCTCACCCGAACTTCTTCCTCCCTTAGTTTTGTTGCCATTTTTCTTTTGTCCCATCTACCTCTTACTCTAACTGTAGCTACAACTAAATAATGATCCGATATATAAGTTGCCCCTCTATAAACATGTACATTCTGAAGCCTACCCATCAACCTTTTATCCACCAATATATAATCTAACAAACTACTTTCATTATGTGCTATATCGTACCTTGTATATTTATTTATCCTCTTTTTCATAAAATATGTATTACTTATTACCAGACCTCTTTCTACACATAGCTCAGTTAAAGGCTCCCCATTTTCATTTACCCCTGGCACCCCAAATTTACCTACTACTCCCTCCACAACATTTTTACCCACTTTGGCATTGAAATCCCCAACCACAAGTACTCTCACACTTGGTTCAAAACTCCCCACACACTTGCTTAACAATTCCCAAAACCCCTCTCTCTCTCTCTCTCTCTCTCTCTCTCTCTCTCTCTCTCTCTCTCTCTCTCTACACTTCTCTCTTCTCCAGGTGCATATATGCTTACTATAACCCACTTTTCACATCCAACCTTTATTTTACTCCACATAATCCTTGAATTAATACATTTATACTCCCTCTTTTCCTGCCATAGCTTATCCTTCAACATTATTGCGACTCCTTCTTTAGCTCTTACTCTATTTGAAACCCCTGACCTAATTCCATTTACTTAAGAACATAAAAACTTAAGAAAGAAGGAACACTGCAACAGGCCTATTGGCCTTTGCGAGACAGCTCCAATTCTCCCACTGGCTTAAGCCAATGCTGTGACCTAGTGAGGTTAGACACGTCACTTAAGGGAGGAGCAGTGCATCCGACCTAGTAGCACAAGCTAGTCAGGTCCAAGTCACCCCCACCCACACCCACTCATGTATTTATCTAACCTATTTTTAAAACTACACAACGTCTTAGCGTCTATGATGGTACTCGGGAGTTTGTTCCACTCATCCACAACCCTATTACCAAACCAGTCCTTTCCTATATCCTTCCTGAATCTGATTTTTTCCAATTTAAAGCCATTGCTGTGAGTCCTGTCTATGTTAGATATTTTTAGATATTTTAACTCTCCCACCCGTAGATTTACATTCAGAGCACTACATGTGCAAAGGTAGATCTTAGCTTGGACAGTTTAACCCTTTCAGGGTTGGTGCCGTGCTAGTATGGCTTGCACGCCAGGGTTGGTGCCGTACTAGTACGCATAAATTCTAATGCCTTCAAATCTAGCAAGAGAAAGCTGGTAGGCCTACATATGAAAGAATGGGTCTGTGGTCAGTATGCACAGTATAAAAAAAATCCTGCAGCACACAGTGCATAATGAGAAAAGAAAAATTCCAACCGTGTTTAACCCTTTCAGGGTTGAGAGTCCCTCTCCTAAACTTGTTCTGAGGGTCGAAAATTTTTCGGGAAAAAAAAAATTATTTTTTTCTTATGAAATGATAGAGAATCTTTTCCCGATCATAATGACACCAAAATTATGAAATTTGATGGAAAACTTACGGAATTATGCTCTCGCGAAGTTAGCGGTCTCACCGATGCGTAAACATCGGCGATTCTGCCCACTTTGAACCTTATTTTTGGCCAATTCCTGTGTACTAGTCGATAAAAATCATATTTATTTCGCTAGAACTCCATTTTTTCTATCGAATGAGTACAAAAAAAACACCCATTTACCAATTTCAACTATCCAATAAAGTGGTTAGAAATTCGCAATTTTGCCAGTTTCACACAAATTTCAGAAGATGCCAATTTCCAAATAGGGTCCAGAATAAACAAGAAAGACATTCCTGGCACTAAAATAACAAGTTCTCTGTTCGTTAGTCACATCCCCAGGCCCCTCTTGTATTTCTTTTGCTTTCCACTATGAATTTTTATTCTTACAAAAATTAGTAGATTTACTGTTATGCAGACTATTGCATTAGTGTAGAAATGGTATAAATAATATCAGTGCACTTGTGAGAGAATATTAGACTCACCTGTTGACGTGTATTGAACGCTTGGCATGATTTGTTTACTTTTGAACTTTGGTAAAAATCGAACATTTCTGCTACTTTGAGCTCAATTTCAAGGTACTTTTCATAGTAAAACCAGTCAAAATCATCTCAATTTCTGTAATATGTCTTCCATTCTATAAAATGAGACCAGGAAAACTAGAATACTACAACCATAAATACCATATGAAAATACAGTGCAAAGTCGCTGTTTTAATCCAAAAACACGGTCAAAGTTTTTTTTTCCTCATTACACACTGTGTGCTGCAGGATTTTTTTTATACTACAGCCTACACTGACCACATAAACCCATTCTTTCATATGTAGGCCTACCAGCTTTCTCTCGCTAGATTTGAAGGTGCTAGAATTTAGGTGTACTAGTACGTCAATAACCATGGTGTGTAAGCCCTACTAGTACGTCGAAAACCCTGAAAGGGTTAAAACAGCGACTTTGCAGTGTATTTTTGTATGCTATTTATGATTGTATTCTAATTTTCCTGGTCTCATTTTATAGAATGGAAGACATATTACAGAAATTGAGATGATTTTGATTGACTTCACAATGAAAAGTACCTTGAAATTGAGCTCAAAGTAGTAGAAATGTTAAATTTTTGCCAAAGTTCAGAAGTAAACAAATTATGCCATGCGTCCAATACACGTCAACTGGTGAGTCTGATATTCTTTCACAAGTGCGCTGATATTATTTATACCATTTCTACGCTAATGCAGTAGTCTGCATAACAGTAAATCTATTTTTTGTGAGAATAAAAATTCAAAGTGGAAAGCAAAAGAAATGTAAGAGAGGCCTGGGGATGTGACTAATGAAGAGAGGAAATGTTATTTTAGTGCCAGGAATGTCTATCTTGTTTATTCTGGATCCTATTTGGAAATTGACAAAATGGCCAATTTCTGACCACTTTATTGGATAGTTGAAATCGGTAAATGGGTGGTTTCTTGTACTCATTTGATAAAAAAAAATGGAGTTCTAGCGAAATAGTTATGATTTTTGTCGACTGGTACATTGGAATTGGTCGAAAATAGGGCTCAAAGTGGCCAAATCGCCGATGCGTAAACATCGTCAAGACCGCTAACTTTGCGAGAGCATAATTCCATAAGTTTTTCCATTAAATTTCATACTTTTGGTGTCATTGTGATCAGGAAAAGATTCTCTATCATTTCATAAGATTTTTTTTTTATTTTTTTTTTTAAATTCCGAACCTGAGAACAAGTTTAGGAGAGGGCCTGCCGACCCTGAAAGGGTTAAGGGTTAATTCAGTCCAGATTACCTCCCATTCTCAAGCAGCTGTATGACCCTTACAGGGTTAGTGCTTCCCTATAAATAATATAATACAACACAGTGCGGTTTATTTATTGCTAATGGAAGAAAATGTAATAAATTACTGTTCATATTTTTATCACATCTCCCACCGAGATATGGTGATCCCCATAAAAAGAGGAACATATTCACGGTTATTCATTTAATAGGCGTCTTCCCTGAAGTTAAAATTATGGATTAAAAGTTTTTACATATCATGAGCTTTACAAAGATTGCAGTAGATATACTGTACATAATTTGATACATAAGTAGACACAAAAGAAAGCCACTATTTATGCAGTGCATTTTAGACAAACTAATCATAAGGCTTACATACTACTAAAAGCTAGACCTAGCATATTATTGAAGATTTTTTTGTGTAGCACAGTACAATCACAAAAGAATTACAAAAGAATTACATAGTACATACAGTCATTCAGTGATCTGCATTTTATGGAGTGTTTGAATGAAGGTGATGAAATCACCTGGGTAAATATTTGAGTTCATCATCATTATTATTATTATTATTATTATTATTATTATTATTGAAGAAAGTGCTAAAACAACAAAATATTTGAGTTGAGAATCCTGCAGATATTGCAAGCACAGTACAAAGTGAATATTTTGTATATTAGGCAAATTTAAACTTTTGAATAAGAGTGTGTGCATTGCCTGGAGCCTGAATGATTGATTATTCTGAGAGCTTGTTTTTGCTGAATAACATGTTTAAGGTGATTAGCTGTTATTGATCCCCATGCACAGATACCATAGGTGAGGTATGAATTGATTAGAGAGTAATGCAAAGTGAGCAGGGATGTTTGGCAGCCATAGTGCTATATTTTTGAGAGGATGGCCACTATTTTGGATTATTTTTTTATTTCGAGATGTTCTGGATGTGTGTACTCACCTAATTGTGGTTGCAGGGGTCGAGACTCAGCTCCTGGCCCCGCCTGTGTGTGTGTGTGTTGAATTTTAGTTCATTATCAAGGTGCATACTCTTGTCCTTCCTATTGATTGATGTGATTTTAATCTTTGTTCAAATAAACATTGTTAGCTTTGCTCCCTAATATTATGTAGATGGTCTTGTTACTATTTAGTGTGAGTTTGTTTGTTGCGATCCAAGTACTGTAGATATTTTTGCAAGGTTTTCATTTATTGTGTTGAGTGCATGCGGATTGACGTATGAAGTAATAAAAAAGTCGTCATCTGCAAAAGAATTGGTTTAAATCCTTGTGAAGCATTATGGTTATTTTTCAGGAGTGATAGTTAGGCGAGCAATGCTGGGACAGGACAAGCTGGCCAGAATTGGTGAGCTGCTATACCATGAAGAGGCTGCCCATGAGGCAGCTCACACCCTCCAATCTCATCCTACCAGTGACCCTCTGCCTGACTTTGTTCTTCAGGAGGTGAGTTAAGGTGGGTTACATACTCAGCTACAACCTTTTTTTATTTATTTATTTATTTATTTTTTCAGATTTTTCCCAAAGGGGTTATTTTATTATGCAGCTCTACTTAATAACCGTGAGTGAAAATATTGCTAGAACAGTTGTGTACAGTATTACAGTGCAAATAATTCACACACCATTGTAGATATTAACTCCATTTTTGGCTGTTTCAAACTCCACTTTCACTATCTTTACAGCTACAGCATTCATATCTACAGGCATCACTATCTCTGCAAGTAAACCAGATCTGATTGCAGCAGGTCCTGCATATAGCTATAACACACTTTTATAGTATGGTGCACACATACTTATAGTATTAACTCTTTGACTGTCGCAAGCCCATTTCTGAAACTGGCATTCTATATCGAAAAATATTCAAAAAATAAAAAAATTATTTTTTATTACCAAAATGTTAGGATTATTTTTCCGAGCGTTTTAAGCCTAAAATTTTTTTTGGGCAATCAGTACTTACCAAGATATAGAGGTGTAAAATTGGCAGAAAATGAGTCGCATATGGCAACAGCAGCGAATGCCTTTTCTAAGTAACTTATGAGGCCTGTGAGACCAAAGTAAGTTGCAGTGTACAAATATACACTTGTATACAACACAATAACCACACAAACATTATCATTATTATATTGTTTACAAAACTTTTTTATACAAACCAGCAATACAAAAAATTGTTTATTACTGTTGTTCTATAATATATATACAAATGTACAGTCACTGAACACTTTCCTAGAACTGCTGCAGTTTGTGAAAGTCTTTGAAACACGGTGTTATGCACAGTGGAGTTTTATACTCCTCATACATAAAACAAGTGTCTGCTCTTTTGTGGTATGTGCACAGATAAAACACCTCTTCTGAGCACTTTTCTTGAAAGTAGTAGGAGGCAGTTGTATGGGGTAATGATCACCAGGCCTCAGACGAGATGGCATGTGTTGGTAATTTCGTGGGTGCTGGTCTATTGCAGGTGTTGCTCCTTGGTACTTGAATATTATTTGTCTGATGACTGACAAACAAAATTCACCATATTTTGGTTTGTTGGTGGTCTTCAACTTGTATACGTTATAAGCATTCAACATGGAAATGTCAAGAAGATGGAAAAAAATTTTATGTACCACTTATAAATCTTATAGGTAGTAGGTTGGTAGAGAGCAACCGCCCAGGGAGGTACTACCGTCCTGCCAAGTGAGTGTAAAACGGAAGCCTGTAATTGTTTTACATGATGGTAGGATTGCTGGTGTCCTTTTTTCTGTCTCATAAACATGCAAGATTTTAGGTATGTCTTGCTACTTCTTCTTACACTTAGGTCACACTACACATACATGTACAAACATATATACACACCCATCTGGGTTTTCTTCTGTTTCCTTTCTTGTTCTTGTTTATTTCCTCTTACCTCCATGGGGAAGTGGAACATAATTTTTCCTCCGTAAGCCATGCGTGTTGTAAGAGGTGACTAAAATGCCGGGAGCAAGGGGCTAGTAACCTCTTCTCCTGTATATATTACTAAATGTAAAAGGAGAAACTTTCGTTTTTCCTTTTGGGCCACCCCGCCTCGGTGGGATACGGCCGGTGTGTTGAAAGAAAGAAGAAGACTTATAAATCTTGCAAACACAATCAGCAAACCCAATCTGCATGTCACATTTGTCCACTAAGCACATATTGAGGTTGTAGTCCATCACAGCTGCAGGTTTTAGAATGGGTTCATTGGTTTCTCTATTCTGCCTGCCACTGTCTGCCATTTCGTTTCGGTGAACTGATGTCAACAGTGTGACATCATGTTTCTCATGCCACCGAAATGCCATGACGTCATTGGCAGCAAATGCCTACACCTCACCTCTGTGAGTGCCTGTGTTGAACCTAGGCATATGCTTACAATTTCCACGCACTGTGCCACATACGTCTGTCATGTTCACTCACAAGAAATCACTGAGTAAGGGGCTTGTGTACCAGTTATCAGTAAATAATATATGCCCCTTACCAAGACTTGGTTCCATCATTGTTCTAACCACATTACCAGAGATACCCAATAACTTCCTGGTATCTCTCAATGTGTTACTACCAATGTACACAATTATATCCAAAACCAGACCACTTTTGCAATCACAGTACAAATAACTTTATACCAAAGTGTTTCCTCTTGCTTGGTATATACTGCTTGAACGACAGTCTGCCTTTGAACAAAATCAAAGACTCGTCAATAACAAGCTTCCTGAAGGGATAAAAGTACATACAGCACTTTTGTTTCAGGCACATGAACACATTCCTGATCTTATATAACCTGTCATTTCTGTCAGGCCATGTTTTGTATGAGAAGTGTAGCATATGTAACAGCAGCAAAAATCTATTCACTGGTATAATATCACTAAAACCTGGGGTTGAAATCAGGCATTCTGTTGACCAGTATATGGTGATAGTGTGCTTATACACATCTGGCATAAGCATTATTATGGCAAAGAACAGGTACATCTCTGCCACAGTTGTGTCCTTCCACTGGTGTAGCCATGACCTTGGTGAAAGAATTTATTTGTCATGGTGTACTCATAGTATGTATTGCTTTCCTTGACAATAATTTCCATCAGGGGTTCATCAAAGAATAACTGAAAGCATTCCAGTTCAGTGGCATTGTTCCCAAGTGTACACAATGGCCGTATTCCACTCTCTGCTTCATCAAAGTCATGGGGATTGGGAACAAAATTGGTACCTTGCTGCCAATCCCAGATGTGGTCTGCTGGTGGATACTGGATATTGAAAGGTGATTGTGGTTGTGGGAGTGTGGGGGTGGTTGAGGCTGGTTGTGGCTATGCTGAGTTAGCAGCGTGGCCTGCTGCTGGTGCCACATGACTCCTGCCACCGCCAACACCACCACCACCTGCTGCCCGATGTTCATTACACATCCCCATTGTAACAATATCGTCATGTTCACTCTCTAGTCGTGGTGTAGGGCCATGGGATGTACTCTGAGATTTACTCCTTTTCCTTGGAATGGCATATGGCACACTACCAGAACGCATGCTGCATCGTACATACTGCTGCTTCACTGGAGAATATTCCCCCTCACTGTTGCAACTCGAGCTGCTTTCAATAACTTGGAAATCACTATCACTATCACTTTCACTGCTCACAATCGAGTCCTGTACATGGGGAAATAGTTTCCTTTTTCGTCCTGGTACAGGTGAACGTGAATGAGATGGCCCAGCACCAGAGGTGGTAGGTTGTGGGTCATCTATGTTTTCATCACTAATTACGTTATGCTGGGCACTGCTTTCGGTCACACCCTCCTGAAAACCATGGAATTCATTCTCACTGGCACTTCCATCACTGTTAGAACTATCACTTTGGAACAGTTTGGCAAGGAGTAAGGTATTTCTTACCGTGTGGCATCATGATGGCGTTCCCACGATGCACCACTGAGCCCGATTTTTTTCATAATGCGTGCGCCCATCATGCAGACCCATTCTTTCACATGTAGGCCTACCAGCTTTCTCCCGCTTGATTTGAAGCCGCTAGAATTTACGTCAAAAACATTGGCTCGTAAGACGTATATATACAGCCGAAACAGTCAAAGGGTTAAGTAATGTGCATACATACTTATAGTATTACTTCTGTAATCATGTATTCTGTCATACTCTAGGATATAGTACATGTCCTTAGATTTGCCAGACACATATTTGCTGTAGCAGTTATTTGGTTGATGTGCACCGCAAGTGATATGCTTGGTATGATACTCACCCCATAGGGCAAAAGCTGCAGAACTACCTTGATGGATGTCTGCAGCTTTTGCCCTATGAGCCTGTACTCTGTCTGTGGTCTTCTTTGTTCTTCCCCAATCTTCATAACTTTACATTTGGTGGGGTAAAACTCCAGGAGCCATTTGTCAGATTATGCCTGCAGTCTGTCCAGATTCATTTGTAGCATTTCCTGGTTTGCATTCCATCATTTTATATAATGACTTAAACCAAGGTTTGCACAAAAGTTTGTTAAAGGGAAAGTAGCTAGGGTACTCCCAAAAATTAAAAGTTGAAATAATTTTCTCTGCAAGGCTGTCTGTTTTAAATGATGAAATGTCAGTACCATACATATAAAACTTTAGACTAGGAGAGTGTTTAGAGGCACAGTAGCTACCATTTGCACTTTGTGACACATACTCATGAGAAAATTGAAAAGTGAAAATTATTTTGGTAAATTGTTAGTTTTACTTAAAACTCACAGCAACTTGCATTTGTAAAGAAATGGAGATGAGGTTGAGCAACTTCAGAGTCTGACTTGTGGTGATGTATGTGTCCGGTGAAGTATTTCCCACCAAGGCAGGGTGGCTTGAAAAAGAAAAACTTTAATCATCATTCACTCCATCACTGTCTTGCCATAGGCATGCTTACACTACAGTTATAAAACTGCAACATTAACACCCCTCCTTCAGGGTGCCGGCACTGTATTTCCCATCTCCAGGAATCGAGTCCGGCCTGCCAGTTTCCCTGAATCCCTTCATAAATGTTACCTTGCATACACTCCAACAGCATGTCCTGCCACTTCAATTTATTGGAGAATGCAAGAATTTGTTTACCATTAGTTTAGCCTCATCATCTACACTCTACAGGGTTATCGAATAGGAAAAGCAGTGCTAGGTGCTTGGAGGAGTACTGTAGATGCTGACAAAATACCTTTGTGGCTGCCTCCCTAATTTTGCGTAAGTTCAAGTTGTTGAATAGTTCTCTCCCTGGGAAGGAGGCCTTATTCCAGTAGTGAGTATAAATAAAGACAGGTAAATTTTTACTATGACACATCTCTCTCTCTCACACATGGCTGGATTACAGGGCAAGCCAGCCAGGCAGCTGCTCTGGATGCTGGCTTATAAGGCATGCCAAAAATATGAAAGCCAGAAAAAAAAAAAACTTTTTAAAATAAACAGCTAAAAATTCCATGTGCAGTAAGTTATTTTAAATTTAGTGCATGAAAATAGAGTAAAAGGTACATGATTTATCTTTATTAGGCCAAATAGAAAATTTGTTTTATCTGCCAAAGTCTAAATTTGCCTGGGGTACCCAGATTTTCAGTCTGGTACTGTTCACACACTGTTAACCTTATTTGACCCTTGAACATGAAGAGCTTTAAGTAGTAAATGGTCTTTGACATCCATTGTGCATGGGGCATTTGTGCCAGGGTATGGAAGCATGGCCCACCAGCTGATGATCCTCTTGAGGAAAACTTGGTATAGTTGAAGTAGCCCTGTAGTCTAATCATGGGACCTGGGTCTTGATGTCATCTGTGTAGAATGATGTAATCTCTTGTTGCAGGCCCTCTTGCATGTCAACAAATGGTTCATTACCAATAGGGCTGAATTAAGCATTATTTTGGAAACATTTAAAAAGCTTCACCTCAGGCCTGCTGGTTACTACAAGTGTGACAGAGAACACAGATGACATTCTTATGAGAACATGATAGTAGCATGAGACCCAGACAGGCTCCTTGTCGAGAGCTTTCTCGAGAAGGGTGTAGGTACCCATGTTCAACTCTGTTGAGGTTCTTGTGTCATACATCTAATTTGTAGAGGGTATACGTATATGAGGTAGACCCTGTAGGCAAAATTATATTTTACATGTCATACTCAGCCATATGCCATCTAATATTATTGAAATTAAGCAGATAACCTTATTTAACTGTCTAGTTTTTTGAGGTGGAAAAGGGCAGCTTTGTGGAATGATACATTCTTTTTCTTTTTCCTTCAACAAACCAGCTGCATCCCACCAAAGCAGGGTGGCCCAAAAAGAAAAAGAAAAGTTTCTCTTTTTAACTCGAGTAAAGTATACAGGAGAAGGGGTTACTAGCCCCTTGCTCCCAGCATGTTAGTCACTTCTTATGATATGCACAGCATACAGAGGAAGAATTTTATTCCACTTTCCCATGGAGATAAGAGGGAATAAACAAGAACAAGAGTGGTGTGTATATATATATTTTTTTTTTTCAACAAACCAGCCATATCCACCAAGGCAGGGTGGCCCAAAAAGAAAAACGAAAGTTTCTCTTTTTAAATTTAGTAATATATACAGGAGAAGGGGTTACTAGCCCCTTGCTCCCGGCATTTTAGTCGCTTCTTACAACACGCATGGCTTATGGAGGAAGAATTCTACTCCACTTCCCCATGGAGGTAAGAGGAAATAAACAAGAACTAGAAAGAAAATAGAAGAAAACCCAGAGGGGTGTGTATATATATGTTTGTACATGTATGTGTAGTGTGACCTAAGTGTAAGTAGAAGTAGCAAGACGTACCTGAAATCTTGCATGTTTATGAGACAGAAACAAGACACCAGCAATCCTACCATCATGTAAAACAATTACAGGTTTCCATTTTACACTCACTTGGCAGGACAGTAGTACCTACTTGTGGGTGGTTGCTGTCTACCAACCTAATACCTAGGAGAAATGTTCACATCTTTCTTCTTTCAACAAACCAGCCATATCCCACTGAAGCAGGGTGGTCCAGAAAGAAAAGCAAAAGTTTATCTTTTTAACTTTAGTAATGTATACAGGAGAAGTGGTTACTAGCTCCTTGCTCCAAGCATTGTAGTCGCCTCTTATGACATACATGGCTTACGGAGGAAGCATTCTGTTCCACTTCCCTACGGTGATAAGCAGAAATAAACAAGAACAAGAACTAGTAAGTAAATAGAAGAAAACCCAGAGGGAGGGTGTATATATATGCTTGATGTGTGTGCCCAATGCAAAGACAGGAAAGTGTTGTCTCCCAACCACGACATTGATGATAAGAAAACCAGGATCCTAATCTCGGCTTGACAGAATGTAATTAGTTGTGAATTGTTGTTACCAACAGTTGTGAAGGTGCCTAGAGATTACAGCAGAATAGTCCAAGAATGGAGTACCTCTATGTGAAACTGGAAGGTCATGTTCCACTGACCATGCAGCAGAGTCCACCTCCTTGTTGCCCTGAACATTAACATGACCAGGGACCCAGCAGAAAACAATTTCTTTGTTTTTGCTAGAAGTGGGATGCAACCAAAGTTGTCTACGAAGAACTAGGTGATGAAGTGAATTAAATTTTTTTATAGCTTTCAAAGCACTAAAGGAGTCTGAGACTACCACAGATATTGAGGTAGGTCTGGCCACAATACAGATAATTTCTATGAGAATTGCATACAGTTCAGCTGTGAAAACACTAGCAGAGTCTAATAAATGACATTTCACAACACTGTCTGGGAACACTTTGCAAACCTGACACCATCAGAGGATTTAGAACTATCAGTGTAAACTGCAATGGCATGAGAATGAGACTGGAAGTGGTTAAGAAAAAGTGACCGAGATTCACACACAGTAGTGGGGAAGAACAGACTTGAACTGTCGAAACCTCCCAAGGGAGGGGGGAGAGAACGGTTAGATGCTAGATAAACATATGAAGGGGGCAACTGAAGAGAAGTCAAGAGTGAGTGAAGACAGAGAAAAGGGATGGAGTAAACAAGGGCAGCAACCAAATAATGGACCTCTACTAACATCCGTTACTGTCCTGTGTGTAAAAGGATCACGAAGGTCATGAAAGCAGACAAAATAACAGAGGCAATGGGCATCATGTTGATCATTCAAAGATGGAACATTCGCCTCTGCATATAGGCGCTCGACAGGTGAGGAGTGAAAAACACATAGACGTAAATGTAATCCCTGATGATGGATGGGATCAAGTCTAGAAAGAGTTGAGGGAGAGGCCACAGAATATATCTGGTGACCATAGCCTAGTTTTGATAAAATTAGAGCTGAATGCAGTCAAAGGAGAGTATCTTTTTCTTTGAAGCTGTGTGTTTGAACATATATAAGATACTAGCAGATTGCATGCTGCTATTGAGAATTAAACACTCCACATAATTTTGCAGTTCAATAATTTTCTTAAATTTTATATCTCTTATATCACTATATTGTACTGCATCAGGCTGACGCTGTGCTTAAAACCCATGAGGACCTACGTAATTTTTGGTGCAAATACCACCACGTTCAACTGGAGCGTATTGCCCTGTGCAGTGAGGCACAAGCCTTACAGCAAGAAGGTCGACATCTGCGGGGTCTTTTACGCAAATACCTTGTGTCTCTGGGATTGACAGATGCAGCTCTAGCCCAGTCTGCTGCACCAGTTACTGTGTCACATCTCAACCTCAAGCACTACCATCCCCACCCTTCTAGGTAAGTGATGCAACTTAATAATATTTTGGGCATTTAAGAGAAGATGGAGCTGAATAAGGTGACCAGAGGGTGGATGAATCTGGGGTGGAAAGAAAGGTTGTATTGGAGGGTGGGGAGGTAAAGGAGGTTTTGAATCCTAGGGGCTTGAGCATCCAGCATGCCTCTGTGAGTGTTGGATTGGACCAAGTGGAGACGGGTGGATTTTAAGGAGAAAAAGTCACAATACCATGGCAGGAATAATTCACTGAAAACCTGCATTAATGAGAGGAACTTCAGGATGCTGTTTTAGTCCATCCTAAACTAATGTCAAATCACAAATGTGACTTGACATTAGTCCAGGGTGGACTGATTTGTCATCCTAAGGTTCTCCTACTAAGTACAGATTTTTTGGTGAGTGGTTTTTTATGACTCAAAGTGTTGTTGGAGTGTGAGAAAGGTGACATGAAAGGATTTAGGGAAAACTAGTTAGATGGACTTGAGTCCTGGAGGTGGGAAGTACAGTGCCTGGTCTCTGGAGGGGTGGGGATGTTGGAGTTCAAAGGATTATTGTAATTGTAATGTCTGTGCACTTATGGCAAAACAGCTATTGAATGAGTAATGGTAAATGTATTACTTTTTGGGGGGTCACCATGTATTTGTTAAAAAGCTTAAAAACTTCTATTTTTAGTATTGAAGTACAGTAGCATGAATTTATTCCAGTTTTTTCTCAAATTAAATGCTTCTTGTGTGTGTTCCACATTTTATATTAAATGTTAGCTGTTTATAGTAATCACTACTTATAAAAAAAGCCAAATCTTTCACATCATTTAAAAATTAGAAGAAACTGTCATTGTTGAAAGAAAGTATGTACTGTAAGAACATAACAAAGAAGGAACACTGCAACAGGCCTACTGTCCTATGCGAGGCAGCTCCAATTCTCCCACCGGCTTAAGCCAATGTCTTGACCTAGTGAGGTCAGACATGTCACTTAAGGGAGGAGCAGTGCATCCAATCTAGTAGCACAAGCTAGTCAGGTCCAACTCACACTCACTCATGTATTTTTTTTATTATTATTATCACACTGGCCGATTCCCACCAAGGCAGGGTGGCCCGAAAAAGAAAAACTTTCACCATCATTCACTCCATCACTGTCTTGCCAGAAGGGTGCTTTACACTACAGTTTTTAAACTGCAACATTAACACCCCTCCTTCAGAGTGCAGGCACTGTACTTCCCATCTCCAGGACTCAAGTCCGGCCTGCCAGTTTCCCTGAAACCCTTCATAAATGTTACTTTGCTCACACTCCAACAGCAGGTCAAGTATTAAAAACCATTTGTCTCCATTCACTCCTATCAAACACGCTCACGCATGCCTGCTGGAAGTCCAAGCCCCTCGCACACAAAATCTCCTTTACCCCCTCTCTCCAACCTTTCCTAGGCCGACCCCTACCCTGCCTTCCTTCCACTACAGACTGATACACTCTTGAAGTCACTCTGTTTCGCTCCATTCACTCTACATGTCCAAACCACCTCAACAACCCTTTCTCAGCCCTCTGGACAAAAGTTTTGGTAATCCCGCACCTCCTCCTAACTTCCAAACTACGAATTCTCTGCATTATATTCACACCACACATTGCCCTCAGACATGACATCTCCACTGCCTCCAGCCTTCTCTTCGCTGCAACATTCATCACCCATGCTTCACACCCATATAAGAGCGTTGGTAAAACTATACTCTCATACATTCCCCTCTTTGCCTCCAAGGGCAAAGTTCTTTGTCTCCACAGACTCCTAAGTGCACCACTCACCCTTTTCCCCTCATCAATTCTATGATTCGCCTCATCTTTCATAGACCCATCCGCTGACACGTCCACTCCCAAATATCTGAATACATTCACCTCCTCCATACTCTCTCCCTCCAATCTGATATCCAATCTTTCATCACCTAATCTTTTTGTTATCCTCATAACCTTACTCTTTCCTGTATTCACTTTTAATTTTCTTCTTTTGCACACCCTACCAAATTCATCCACCAATCTCTGCAACTTCTCTTCAGAATCTCCCAAGAGCACAGTGTCATCAGCAAAGACCAACTGTGACAACTCCCACTTTATGTGTGATTCTTTATCTTTTAACTCCACACCTTTTGCCAAGACCCTCGCATTTACTTCTCTTACAACCCCATCTATAAATATATTAAACAACCATGGTGACATCACACATCCTTGTCTAAGGCCTACTTTTACTGGGAAATAATTTCCCTCTTTCCTACATACTCTAACTTGAGCCTCACTATCCTCATAAAAACTCTTCACTGCTTTCAGTGACCTACACCATACACCTGCAACATCGGCCACATTGGCCCCCTATCCACCCTGTCATACGCCTTTTCCAAATCCATAAATCCCACAAAGACCTCTTTAGCCTTATATGTTTCACTGTAAACACCTGGTCCACACACCCCCTACCTTTCCTAAAGCCTCCTTGTTCATCTGCTATCCTATTCTCTGTCTTACTCTTAATTCTTTCAATAATATCTCTACCAACATGACGCAGGAGAGCTTTGCCAATACTATGGTCAGAAAGGTAGGCAGAAGAAGAAGTTGGTCTTAAAGTAAAGAATTTAGTCCATTGTGTGGTCCGAAACTGAGCGTGGAGAGGGAGTGCTTGACGTGTCGGTCTCTTCCAAGTAGAATGGGAAGGTAACGAAGGAGCATCATCAGGAGATTGACGTTGGCGTTTAGGAGTAGGACCGGAGTTGGTCCGGCATGAAATGGGCGGGCAATTCGAAAATTGCTGTACCGTAGAGGGAGAAGCCAGAAGCATAGTCAAAGGAGAGCGGAGTTCAGACAAATCGAAGGAGTCAGTCGAAGCCCCGGTACCTGAAGCGGGTGAGGAAACAGCACCAGCAAGAGGTACAGGGGCATCAGGAGTGTCCGAAGAGTGATCTAAACACAAGGCAGGGTCAGAATGGGGTGCGGTATCAAGAAGGGGCCCGGGGGTAGTGGGTTCATTTACTAGGGCTGCCATGGTTAGGTTACTCCTTTGCTTTTTGTTTTTAAGAAATAAAAAGAAAGAAGAAAAGATAATAAAAATAAAAAAAGAATAAAAAAAAGGGGGGAGGGGGAGGAATAGTTCCCAGGAGGAATGAAAGGGCCGGAAATCTCCCTCCATGCCCAAGAGGACCTCAGCACCGCTAGTAGCGCAGATGCAACATGGAACCCGTGCCATACCCTACCCTTCATGCCAGTAAACCAGCAATCCGGGATAGCAACCTCACATCTGCCAAGCTACCTCGGTGGACAAAAGAGAGGGCGGCCGGGTATCCGCCACAAAGCATACCTCCTTCGGCCACCACCCCCGGAATCTGAAAGGTGGCTTCCAGAGATACACCCGTCGCCCGAAAGACACCCAAAGCTACTCCGGGATACCGGAGAGGGATCGGGACATCCCCAGGCAATCCAGATTCCATGGCAAACTACGCCACCGCCAAGAACCTCAACGGAATGGGATGGACCCCGGTGTCCTTTCCCCTACCTAGGAACAAGCGTGCCTGTGGGAGAAATCCCAAAGGCCAAAAAGAGGAAGGGCAAAAGGGAGGGGTGGGGAGGAGGAGGAGGAATGGAAAAAGGGGATGGGAGAATGGGGGGTAATTAGGTTCGGTCTGAGGAAGAAGACCGACAGGGCTAATTCCTCAGACCAAGAGCCTCTTCACCACGCCAAGGAGCCCCCCTTGAAGAGGGGCAAGAGCCAAGTCAAGTAGACTGTTTCCTTTAGTTGGTTCTGTCACAAACTGTTTTAACCCTTAAATGGTCCAAACGTATATATACGTTTTTTCAACATCTGAAAGTATGTAAAAAAATGTAGATCTTTTTTTTTTTGTTATATTTGAAAATATGTAAAAAAAAAAAAAAAAAGTAGATCTACTTTTGTAGTACTATGAATTTGAACGTCGATCTGTTTGGACCGTTTAAGGGTTAAAAAGCAATCCTGAAACGTATCAAGAAAGTCACTAGACTCAAGATTTCCTGTCACATTGTTCCAATCAGTTGTCTAAAGTTAAACTCTCCCATTAACACAACATTTTCATATCTAGATGCCTTATGAATTTCGTCCCATAGCAGCTTACTGCACTCTCTATCAAGGTTTGGGGGCCTATAAATCACACCCAAAATTAACTTTTCACGACCCTCGAGAAACTGTAGCCAGATTCTACGTCCGATGTTTCTAATCTTGTATCTTGTCTAACACAACAATTTAAATTATCTCTGACATACATCGCCATTCCACCACCCTTCCTGTTGACCCTATCAGTATGGAATAGCTTATAACTCTGTATGTTGCATTCAGAAGGCATTTCTCTATCTTTCAAGTTGAACCAGGTCTCTGTTATAGCAATAATATCTATATTACCTGCACTTGCATGTAATCTTAGCTCATCTATCATATTTCTGAGACTCCTACTTTTTGTATAGTAAACCTTAAGGGAGCCAGTCACTCGTTGCCCTCTACTATCTCTCTTTGTTTGTTGATCAGTTGCTTTGCCTTTACTAGCAACTTTATTTTGAATATTGTCTTTTAAACATATCCCTGAGGTATCCTGGTTATATCTGCTGTTTTCAATCCTAGCACTACAGCCTCATTGTTTCCCACAGATGCCCATACCTCTATAATCTATCAGTTTAAAGTCCTAGACAAGTCATCAATAACCCCCTCAATCGAATTGGCTAATGCAACCACTCCAACCAAAGAGAGATGAACCCCATCCCTTGCATACATATCATGCTTGCCATAGAATATGTCCCAGTTATCAGTGAATGGGATTGCAAGTTCCTTGCAGTACCTATCTAGCCAGCAATTTATACCAATTGCCCTAGACATCCATTCATTGTCCATTCCCCTTCTAGGCAAGATGCTACATATGATTGGGATCCCTCCCTTAAACCTGACTACATCTATGGCTGACCTATACTTATCCAGCAGCTCCTGTCTCCTGCCATTCCCAATGTCATTTCTACCAGCACTAAGACAGATAATGGGCTTGTTCCCATTGCCTGCCATATTATTATCCAACTTACTATGTCACCAACACTAGCTCCTGGGAGACACCCTGTGTCTGACCTTTCTATCTGTTACAAAAAGCACGGTCCATATATCTCACCTGAGAACCTCCCACAACAGAATATTCTTACCTTGATAAGCAGGGGAGTCAGTGGTACCTTTAATCTCACTAACCACTGCAGTACACTTGTCCTGGAGAAGAGAGAATTGATTTCCTACCTTCACATCTTCTCTATTAACCTTCCTTATCATCCTTCTTCCTGAATTGTGAGCTACTTGCCACTTAAAAGTGACTGCCACTCTCCAAATCACTGCTGTTAACTTTTTCCTCCCCACCAGCTACCACCATCTCACAGTCACTCCCAAACCCATCTAGACAAAGCTTCGGCCTCCTATTTTCCTCCTGAAGTAGTAGCATATCCTTCTTCAGGAGATTCTAAAACACTACAACAAGCCATGGTGCTAGGTAACACCCCACACTAATCCCAGACAACTTAGGACAGGTATGATCACTGTGTAGGGTGTAAATGTTGTTCACCTCTGCACCTTTGCTAGATGTTTGTTCTCTAAAGGACACATTCATTGTATTCATAGTTTAGTATGATAGCTATAAATTGTAATTCACATAAAGGGTGTGCCAAAGTATTGATATTGGTGGGTATTGGCCATATTTGATGTGACTAATTTTGATATCGGTATTGTCCTAAAATGAGTATCGGTATCAACAAGAATTCTGGTATCATCTCATCACTAGTTCACTTTACTGCTTTTGTTATTTACTGTTATATTCTTTATATTAGTGTTATTATCATAATGGTGGCTCTGGCAGAGTTGCAATAACTTTTATTATAATCAAAACTAAGTGCTAAACCCAATAACTTTCATGGTCTTGTGTTGCAGGAGTCAGTCAGTGCCAGTGGGAAGCATCAACCACAGTCAAGATGGTGGCAGCTCCCTTTCAGCTCGTGGCTACTTGAGATGGCCAGGCCAGCTGGGACGAGACAGAGTTCTGCCTGTACAAGAGGCCAGACTGCTGCTACGCTCTGCTGACCTCCATTCCCTTCCCAAGCACCATAATGCCTGACTCCCTTTCCTAGACACCATGCCCTACTCCACTTCCCTCCCATTCATTATGGAGCCATTGAGATAAGTACCCATTGTCTCCATTATCTTGTTTGTTTCCATGGCTTTTATGATACTACTACTGCAGTACAGTAACTGTAGAATTCTCTCATGCTAGTACAGCTAATACCATGAATTGTCTCCCATTTTCATGTTCCTGTACTATTACATTGATGGGGGAAGTTCTAGACCTATAGGGATCATACAACATTAGGGAATGGAAATTATTTACTCAAATCTGCCCATGGAAGAGAACAGCTCAAATTCCTTGAATCAAGCATTACATTTCTTCAGTCTACACCTCCATAGTCCCTTAATCAATAGCCCATTTTACTACTTTCTCTCATATACTTTTTCATCCCTCCATGTTGGGAGATTCCTGTGTCAAGTCTGCTGTTCCACATTTCTGACATCTTGCATCTCAGCTCTGAATTTGGCTTCACACTTCTTAGAGTATTTCCAATAACACAACATTCTACTGCTGAGTAGAATGATGGTTCCATACCAGCTAGAGCTGGCTATTTTTCACAACAGAGTTAAAAGCATTCTTTACTGCCATGAATCACATCACTTATCCTCCTCATTTGATGTCATCTCAGACTTCCAGAATGAATTTAAAACAATTCAAGTCATCGATTCTTCGCATCCCAGTGTTCTGTCGACATGGAGTCTCTGAAAACTAACCGATATATTTATTGCCCCTGCACATTTTGACCTTCACCAACTGAGACAATCTCAGCAGATTGCAACCATTAATTCAGTTCACCCTAAAAATGGAAATGAACAGAATACTCTTTTTAGAGGGCCTTACACACTAAAATAATGACTACTGCTTATTTTGAGTATACTAAAAGACTGCAAATAAATAACCTCGCCTATTTTTGGTCACATCACAGCCCAGACAGGTGTATCAATTAGATTTTTCCTATGTGCATACAGGATTTGTGGCCCAGGTAGTAGGTTGGTAGACAGCAACCACCCAGGGAAGTACTACCGTCCTGCCAGATGACTGTGAAACAAAAACCTGTAACTGTTTTGCATGATGGTAGGATTGCTGGTTTTCTTTTTCTGTCTCATAAACACGCTAGATAACAGGGATATCTTGCTACTCCTACTTAAACTTTGGTCACACTTCACAGACACGCACATGCATATATATATATACATACATCTAGGTTTTTCTCCTTATTCTAAATAGCTCTTGTTCTTTTTTATTTCTTCTATTGTCCATGGGGAAGTGGAAAAGAATCTATTCCTCCGTAAGCCATGCGTGTCGTATGAGGCGACTAAAATGCCGGGAGCAATGGGCTAGTAACCCCTTCTCCTGTATACATTTACTAAAAAAGAGAAGAAGAAAAACTTATAAAACTGGGTTGTTTAAATGTGCGTGGATGTAGTGCGGATGACAAGAAACAGATGATTGCTGATGTTATGAATGAAAAGAAGTTTGGATGTCCTGGCTCTAAGCGAAACAAAGCTGAAGGGGGTAGGAGAGTTTCAGTGGGGGGAAAAAAAATGGGATTAAATCTGGAGTATCTGAGAGAGTTAGAGCAAAGGAAGGGGTAGCAGTAATGTTAAATGATCAGTTATGGAAGGAGAAAAGAGAATATGAATGTGTAAATTCGAGAATTATGTGGATTAAAGTAAAGGTTGGATGCGAGAAGTGGGTCATAATAAGCGTGTATGCACCTGGAGAGAGAGGAATGCAGAGGAGAGAGAGAGATTTTGGGAGATGTTAAGTGAATGTATAGGAGCCTTTTGAACCAAGTGAGAGAGTAATTGTGGTAGGGGACCTGAATGCTAAAGTAGGAGAAACTTTTAGAGAGGGTGTGGTAGGTAAGCTTGGGGTGCCAGGTGTAAATGATAATGGGAGCCTTTGATTGAACTTTGTATAGAAAGGGGTTTAGTTATAGGTAATACATATTTTAAGAGAAAAAGAGGATAAATAAGTATACACGATATGATGTAGGCGAAATGACAGTAGTTTGTTGGATTATGTATTGGTAGATAAAAGACTGTTGAGAGACTTCAGGATGTACATGTTTATCGAGGGGCCACAGATATATCAGATCACTTTCTAGTTGTAGCTACACTGAAAGTAAAAGGTAGATGGGATACAAGGAGAATAGAAGCATCAGGGAAGAGAGAGGTGAAGGTTTATAAACTAAAAGAGGAGGCAGTTAGGGTAAGATATAAACAGCTATTGGAGGATAGATGGGCTAATGAGAGCATAGGCAATGGGGTCGAAGAGGTATGGGGTAGGTTTAAAAATGTAGTGTTAGAGTGTTCAGCAGAAGTTTGTGGTTACAGGAAAGTGGGTGCAGGAGGGAAGAGGAGCGATTGGTGGAATGATGATGTAAAGAGAGTAGTAAGGGAGAAAAAGTTAGCATATGAGAAGTTTTTACAAAGTAGAAGTGATGCAAGGAGGGAAGAGTATATGGAGAAAAAGAGAGAGGTTAAGAGAGTGGTGAAGCAATGTAAAAAGAGAGCAAATGAGAGAGTGGGTGAGATGTTATCAACAAATTTTGAAAATAAGAAAAAGTTTTGGAGTGAGATTAACAAGTTAAGGAAGCCTAGAGAACAAATGGATTTGTCAGTTAAAAATAGGAGAGGAGAGTTATTAAATGGAGAGTTAGAGGTATTGGAAGATGGAGGGAATATTTTGAGGAATTGTTAAATGTTGATGAAGATAGGGAAGCTGTGATTTCGTGTATAGGGCAAGGAGGAATAACATCTTGTAGGAGTGAGGAAGAGCCAGTTGTGAGTGTGGGGGAAGTTCGTGAGGCAGTAGGTAAAATGAAAGGGGGTAAGGCAGCCGGGATTGATGGGATAAAGATAGAAATGTTAAAAGCAGGTGGGGATATAGTTTTGGAGTGGTTGGTGCAATTATTTAATAAATGTATGGAAGAGGGTAAGGTACCTAGGGATTGGCAGAGAGCATGCATAGTTCCTTTGTATAAAGGCAAAGGGGATAAAAGAGAGTGCAAAAATTATAGGGGGATAAGTCTGTTGAGTGTACCTGGTAAAGTGTATGGTAGAGTTATAATTGAAAGAATTAAGAGTAAGACGGAGAATAGGATAGCAGATGAACAAGGAGGCTTTAGGAAAGGTAGGGGGTGTGTGGACCAGGTGTTTACAGTGAAACATATAAGTGAACAGTATTTAGATAAGGCTAAAGAGGTCTTTGTGGCATTTATGGATTTGGAAAAGGCGTATGACAGGGTGGATAGGGGGGCAATGTGGCAGATGTTGCAAGTGTATGGTGTAGGAGGTAGGTTACTGAAAGCAGTGAAGAGTTTTTACGAGGATAGTGAGGCTCAAGTTAGAGTATGTAGAAAAGAGGGAAATTTTTTCCCAGTAAAAGTAGGCCTTAGACAAGGATGTGTGATGTCACCGTGGTTGTTTAATATATTTATAGATGGGGTTGTAAGAGAAGTAAATGCGAGGGTCTTGGCAAGAGGCGTGGAGTTAAAAGATAAAGAATCACACACAGGGTGGGAGTTGTCACAGCTGCTCTTTGCTGATGACACTGTGCTCTTGGGAGATTCTGAAGAGAAGCTGCAGAGATTGGTGGATGAATTTGGTAGGGTGTGCAAAAGAAGAAAATTAAAAGTGAATACAGGAAAGAGAAAGGTTATGAGGATAACAAAAAGATTAGGTGATGAAAGATTGAATATCAGATTGGAGGGAGAGAGTATGGAGGAGGTGAACGTATTCAGATATTTGGGAGTGGACGTGTCAGCGGATGGGTCTATGAAAGATGAGGTGAATCATAGAATTGATGAGGGAAAAAGAGTGAGTGGTGCACTTAGGAGTCTGTGGAGACAGAGAACTTTGTCCTTGGAGGCAAAGAGGGGAATGTATGAGAGTATAGTTTTACCAACGCTCTTATATGGGTGTGAAGCATGGGTGATGAATGTTGCAGCGAGGAGAAGGCTGGAGGCAGTGGAGATGTCATGTCTGAGGGCAATGTGTGGTGTGAATATAATGCAGAGAATTCGTAGTTTGGAAGTTAGGAGGAGGTGCGGGATTACCAAAACTGTTGTCCAGAGGGCTGAGGAAGGGTTGTTGAGGTGGTTCGGACATGTAGAGAGAATGGAGCGAAACAGAATAACTTCAAGAGTGTATCAGTCTGTAGTGGAAGGAAGGCGGGGTAGGGGTCGGCCTAGGAAGGGTTGGAGGGAGGGGGTAAAGGAGGTTTTGTGTGCGAGGGGCTTGGACTTCCAGCAGGCATGCGTGAGCGTGTTTGATAGGAGTGAATGGAGACAAATGGTTTTTAATACTTGACGTGCTGTTGGAGTGTGAGCAAAGTAACATTTATGAAGGGATTCAGGGAAACCGGCAGGCCGGACTTGAGTCCTGGAGATGGGAAGTACAGTGCCTGCACTCTGAAGGAGGGGTGTTAATGTTGCAGTTTAAAAACTGTAGTGTAAAGCACCCTTCTGGCAAGACAGTGATGGAGTGAATGATGGTGAAAGTTTTTCTTTTTCGGGCCACCCTGCCTTGGTGGGAATCGGCCAGTGTGATAATAATAAAAAAAAAAAAACTTCCTCAAAGAAGTGTTAATTAATTAGGAACATGAAGAACTTGCAATACCCAGCATTCATCATATTAATTGTAGAAAATGTGCAGTAAAAATCTTGAAAACAAAACTGAAAAGGAATAAGTCTCAGACATAATTTTCCTTATGGGTAATGTCAACTTACGAATATTGGAGGTGACATTATCTAATGCAGGTATCTTTTATCATTAGTTTATATTATTATTTATCCTTGACTGTTGCCTATAGCTGTGCTACCTCTAGGAATGATCACTCAAACTTGTTAAAACTTGCTGAGCTGGCAAAATGTTGTCTTAAAATTTCTAATGGCTATTTGTCTCTCCAACTATAAACACCTAACCACTGTTCTTAAATAAATAAAGTACATGTATTAATATAAGCTAAACAGTTTTATCCATTTATTTCCATTGGAGTTTCCACTAACAATATGTGAAATACATGAACAGATGAAGTCTGATATTTATTAACAAACCTTTACAAAGGGAATATAAGCTCCTTTCTGTTAATAACAAAATGCATCTGATTATGTATATCAAGCTTAATTTTTCTTTGGGAAAGAATTGAGTGCTGCAATTGAAAAAATACATGCATGATGTCAATAGCAATTCTTTTATCCAGTAGGATGTAAGCCTATATAATTTGATGGGCAATGGCTTGAACCATGACGTGAAAGCTGCATTTTCATGACAGCTTTTGAGAGAAAGTAGCATGGTCTTATTGCTCTTAGGTTGCTATATAGTATATGATGTAGATTAAGTGTTGTGAAGAGGCTCTTTAGGTTTCTCTTTCACGACCTCTATCAGCAGCAAGCGCAAGCTTGAGCAGAGGGATGACTCGTATGGCTGTGATGTCTGCCAATACTGCCTGCAAGAAAAAGAGGGACTCAGTTATCACTGTTTAATATTTGTACATTTTGCAATCATTTTTTATAGGGATGCTAGACCAAATCCACTTGTTTAAAAAAACAATGCTAGTATCCTAATGGCACAGTGTTAAATCAGTTCATCACATTAACTGTATGTAATGCCTAATTAACCCGTAAACGATCCAAACGTATATATGTTTTATGTGTCCTACATTTAACATTGCCACGATAAGCCTGAGTTGCCTTGACATGTGAGAATGGGTGTGAGCACTCACTGTGCACCATATTAAAATAACTGGGGATGCCTGGGTACCATATGCTCTTTTTTCCTAATAAAAAAAAACAATGTTTTTTTTTTTCTTAAAAAAAGTTGGGGCAGTACGGTAGTGAACGTATATATATACGTTTGGACCGTTTACGGGTTAAAAACTACAATATTTCATTCGAACAAGCATAAATAATGTGCCAGTGTCCTTAAGATAATCACATATGGTACTGATATTTTGCAAGAACTGAGAATTGCACTTAAACATAAATTAACATAATCTATTGAATAATACACATTTAGAAAGTCGAATCATGTATGAAAAAAAAAATCATATGTAACAATTTTTAAAAGACTGCCCATTTTCCACCAAGGATACCAACATTATCATCTTATAATGACCTACTGAACCCCCTCCCCCACCCAGCATACAAACTGCAACTTTCATCCACAAAACTGAATATGGGAATCTAGTGTCTCCAAATCCCTTTATAGATATTACCATACTCACACTATAGCAGGATGACAAATCCCAAAATCCACTCGATCCCACTTTGGCATAACATACAGATGCCTTCTGGATGCTCAAGGCCAAACCTCTAAGCACCATCTTCATGCCCTTTTCTTACTCCTTCCACAGATAATCCCTGCTCCTTTCATCCATCCCAAGTGTATAACTCTTCATCAATGTATCTTACTCCATCCTTTCTACATGAACAAATAATCACATCATCCAGAGTTGGCACCAATTAACAATGTTCTACAGATCCATTAATATTCATACAAAAGAAAATTCTGCACGCATACACAGCCTCTCCTCACTTACCCCTCTTCAAGGGGGGCTCCTTGGCATGGTGAAGAGGCTCTTGGTCTGAGGAATTAGACCTATCAGTCTTCTTCCTCAGACCGAACCTAATTACCCCCCAATCTCCCCTCCCCTATCCCATCCTCCCCTTTTTCCTTTCCTCCTCCCCCTCCCCACCCCTCCCTTTTGCCCTTCCTCTTTTTGGCCTTTGGGATTTCTCCCACAGGCACGCTAGTTCCTAGGTAGAGGAAAGGATACCGGGGTCCATCCCATTCCGTTGAGGTTCTTGGCGGTGGCATAGTTTGCCGTGCAATCTGGATCGCCTGGGGATGTCCCGATCCCTCTCCAGTATCCCGGAGTAGCTTTGGGTGTCTTTCGGGCGACGGGTGTATCTCTGGAAGCCACCTTTCGGATTCCGGGGGTGGTGGCCGAAGGAGGTATGCTTTGTGGTGGATATCCGGCCGCCCTCTCTTTTGTCCACCGAGGTAGCTCGGCAGATGTGAGGTTGCTATCCCGGATTGCTGGTTTACTGGCATGAAGGGTAGGGTATGGCACGGGTTCCATGTTGCATCTGCGCTACTAGAGGTGCTGAGGTCCTCTTGGGCGCGGAGGGAGATTTCCGGCCCTTTCATTACTCCCCGCTCCCCCTTTTTTTATTCTTTTTTTTATTTTTATTTTTTATTTTTTTTTCTTAAAAACAAAAAGCAAAGGAGTAACCTAACCATGGAGAACCCAATCCATGAACCCACTACCCCCAGGCCCCTTCTTGATACTGCACCCCATTCTGACCCTGCCTTGTGTTTAGACCACTCTTCGGACACTCCTGATGCCCCTGTACCTCTTGCTGGTGCTGTTTCCTCACCCGCTTCAGGTACCGGGGCTTCGACTGACTCCTTCGATTTGTCTGAACTCCGCTCTCCTTTGACTATGCTTCCGGCTTCTCCCTCTACGGTACGACAATTTTTGAATTGCCCGCCCATTTCATGCCGGACCAACTCCGGTCCTACTCCTAAACGCCAACGCCAATCTCCTGATGATGCTCCTTCGTTACCTTCCCATTCTACTCGGAAAAGACCGACATGTCAAGCACTCCCTCTCCACGCTCAGTTTCGGACCACACAATGGACTAAATTCTTTACTTTAAGACCGACTTCTTCTTCTGCCTACCTTTCTGACCATAGTATTGGCAAAGCGCTCCTGTGTCATGTTGGTAGAGATATTTCATTTCATGCTCTCAAGAGCGGTACGCGCATTGTCACTGTCCAGAATGCTACCCAAGCTCATGATCTTTCTCTCCTTTCGAATATTGATACTACTCCTATCACTATTGAAAAACATCTTTCTCTCAATTCTTGTAGTGGTACTGTCATTCTGCCCCATACCATAGTCCAACAGAATTTCCAGTCATGTGGCAATGACATTTTTGAACAGCTGGAACTCCAGGATCTCCCAATCCTCAAAGTAGACACTTATGTCCTTCCTGCCTGTGGGCGGAGACGTTACCCTTGCAATGTGGCTCGTTTAACTTTTGACAGCCGAGAACTCCCGTCCTCTGTATATGTCGCGGGACATCGGTTACAAGTTCGAAAGGCGATACCTACACCACAACAGTGTAGAAATTTCTGGCGTTTTGGTCACCCAGCGAAATATTGCAGATCTATGACCGAATGCCCAGTCTGTGGTGCCGACGACCATTCTAATACATCTTGCAGTCAACCTCCATCTTGCCTTAATTGTAATGAAGCTCACCCTTCGTACTCCCGCCGTTGTCAGGTCTACTTAAATGAACGTAAAATCCGTTGCCTCAAAGAGGCAGAAGGTCTCCCTTATGCTATGACAGTTACTCATCTCCGCCTCCAAGGTTGACTACCCCGTGTTTCTTATTCTCGTGTTTCAAAACATCCCCCTACTTCTGGGGTCCCATCTTCTGCAGCCTCCTCTGTTGTTCCCCTCCCATAGCCACTCCGGCATCTAATCCTTTTGCTGTCCTTGGCTCTGACGTCCCGACTACAACTCAGTCTGTTCTCACATCTTCGCGTCCTTCCTCACAAGCCCCAGTATCGACAAGACCTCGTACGACACCTAATACCAATCGCCCCTCTACTTCTCAGAAGTCCAAAAAATCCACATTGCTCAAATCTTCTTTGCCCCTTCCTTCCCTTCTTCCACCTCCACACTTTACCTTTCCAGTCTTCTACCTAGTTCTTCCCCTCTCTCTGGCTCTATTACAAGTGTGGAGATTCACCCTCCTCCTCGTACTATCCTTCCACCCCGTCCCCTCCCAAGTTTCTCCCTCTTCTGCCACCTCCAGGTTTTCTGCCTCTTCTGTCCCCCCCCCCCACACTTCATCTCCAGTCCCTTACACTCTTCCCTCCCCTCTACTTTGGTACAGTCCATTACTGTCCAATCTTTACTCACCCTCCTCCTTCTATCTCCAATATGGTCTCCATCCATCTTTGAATTCAGAAACACTTGAAGCCATTTCGGAATATATTGCAGAGACTAAACCTTCAATGGACACTGATTCACTTCCTGTTCCTTCTCTTCCCTCTCCTCCATCTTCACAACCCCATTCTTCGCAACGCTCCATTCCTTCGCTGCTTGAACGTCTTCCAATGCCACCACACATTGACTTTTCTAACCCCTCTAGTCCGTAGGTGCCTTTCCCTACGGATTCCTGGTTTTTCTTCATCGCCAATCATGCCTATTTACAGTGGAATATCCGCGGCCTCAGGGGTAATCGGGGTGAGCTTCAGATGTTGCTTTCCAGGTTTTCCCCTGTTGGTGCTTGCTTACAAGAACCAAAATTACACTCTGCTGTTTTCCAAACTATCTCAGGCTATAATTTATTGTATTCTTCGGATCCTTTCTCGGATGGGACCTTTAATGAAAGTGCCCTTCTTCTACGCAATGATATTCCATACTGTCAACTATCTGTCCATACCTCGCTGCATTACACTGCAGCCCGTATCCACTTGAATAAGTGGTTTACAATATGTTCTTTATATCTCTCTCCTTCTCGAGCATTTTCTATCCCAGACTTTGCCTTTCTTGTTTCATCCTTACCACCACCACTTCTGTTACTTGGTGATTTTAACGCCCACCATTTCCTCTGGGGGGGTCTCATTGTGACTCACGAGGCATCCAGTTGGAGGCTTTTCTCGCCTCTCACCCCCTCCATGTTTTAAATACGGGTACTCCCACCCATTTTGATCCTCGTACTCATACTCTCTCTTGCATCGATTTATCAGTCTGCTCTTCCTCCACTGCACTAGACTTCACCTGGTCTGTTCTACCGGACTTACATGACAGCGATCATTTTCCAATCATTCTTACTTCTCCTTCCTATTCACCACCTTTCCGTAGCCCTAGCTGGCAATTTGATCGGGCAAATTGGGATCTTTACTCACACCTCACTGCTTTTAGTGAGGTTCCTTCTTCATCCTCCATTGATGAGCTCCTACACCTCTTCTCGAAGTCAGTTTCTACCACAGCTTCTCATTCTATACCCCAAACCTCAGGCAGGCATTCTCAGAAGTGTGTGCCTTGGTGGTCTCCTGCTTGTGCTCGTGCAGTACGTTTGAAACGCGCTGCATGGGGCAAGTACCGGTACAATAGAACCGCTGAGAGACTTCTTGATTTTAAGCAGAAGCGTGCTATCGCTCGCCGTGTCATCCGTGAAGCTAAACGCACTTGTTGGCGAGACTATGTTTCCACCATCACCTCTGCTTCTTCTATGAGTGCAGTCTGGAAAAAAGTGAGGAAATTGAGTGGTAAATACTCTCCTGACCCGGCTCCTGTTCTACGGGTCGCTGGTGATGATGTAGCAAACCCTCTCGACGTTGCCATTGAACTTGGCACACATCTGGTCCGTATTTCCCGGGGGCTCCATCTATGCCCCTCGTTTCTTTCCTCAAAGTCTGCCAGAGAGTTAGTACCCTTGGACTTTTCTTCTCTCAGAGAAGAACAGTATAATGTGCCTTTTACACTTCAAGAACTAGAGGCAACGCTCTCAGCTTGCCGATCATCGGCAGCTGGGCCTGACGACATTCATATTCGTATGTTACAACATTTACATCGGTCAGCCCTTGTAGTCCTCTTACACCTCTTCAATCTTATTTGGGCACAAGGAGTTCTTTCCCCAGCTGTGGAAATCTGCCATTGTTCTCCCTTTCCGTAAACCGGGTACTACAGGACATGATGCCTCCCACTATCGTCCCATCGCTCTTACTAGTGCAGTTTGCAAAGTGATGGAACGTCTTGTAAATCGACGTTTAATGTGGTATTTAGAGACACACAACAGTCTCTCCGCAAGTCAATATGGCTTTCGTAAGGGTCGTTCTACCATAGACCCCTTACTACGCTTGGATACGTATGTTCGTAATGCCTTTGCGAATAATCACTCAGTTATTGCCATATTTTTTGACCTTGAGAAGGCATATGACACAACTTGGAGGTATAATATTTTGGCCCAGGCCCACTCCTTAGGCCTCCGAGGCAATCTACCACCCTTCCTTAAGAACTTTTTAGCTGACAGACATTTCCGTGTTCGAGTCAATAATGTTCTTTCCCCGGACTTCGTCCAAGCTGAAGGTGTCCCTCAGGGATGTGTTCTAAGCGCAACACTTTTTCTCCTTGCTATAAATGATTTGGCCTCTGTTCTTCCACCCAATATTTGGTCATCACTCTATGTTGATGACTTCGCTATTGCTTGTGCAGGCGCTGACTGTCATCTCATTGCAGTTTCTCTCCAGCATGCGGTCGACCGTGTTTCCACTTGGGCCACCACACATGGGTTTAAATTTTCAAGTACCAAAACTCACCAAATTACTTTCACTAGACGCTCTGTCATCTCCGATCATCCTTTGTATCTCTATGGCTCCCGTATCCCCAAACGTGATACAGTCAGGTTTCTAGGCCTTCTCTTTGACCGTAGGTTATCCTGGAAACCTCACATTACCTCTCTGAAGGCAACCTGTCACAGCTGGCTAAACCTTCTTAATTAAAACCCTTGCTCATCTTTCCTGGGGAGCTGATCGTCGAACTCTGCTTCGCCTACATTCAACTCTCGTTTTATCGAAACTCGATTATGGTGACCAGATTTATTCTGCGGCCTCTCCTGCTACTCTCTCTAGCCTTAACTCTATCCATCACCAAGGATTACATTTGTGCCTTGGTGCTTTTCGCTCTTCCCCTGTTGAGAGCCTCTATGCAGAAGCGAATGTTCCATCCTTGTCTGATCGCCGTGATGCCCACTGCCTTCGCTACTATGTACGCTCTCACGATCTCCACAATCCTTCCATTTATAGAATGGTCACCGATATTAGTAGACATTCTTTATTCGTTCGCCGCCCCTGTTTGCTCCGTCCCTTTTCTCTTCGCCTACATTCACTCTTGTCTTCCCTTCAGTTACCACCTTTATATGTTCATGTAGCATCTCACTTTTCCCTACCCCCCTGGGAAGTTCCAGCTGTTCGGGTCTGTTCTTTCTCACTCCCTTGCTCGAAAGCTCAACTGCCTACGGTGGCTTCCCGCTCTCTTTTTCTTGATCACTTCCACTCCCATTCTCATGCCACCGCTGTGTACACAGATGGCTCTAAGTCTTCAGACAGCGTCGAATTCACAGCAGTGTTTCCGGACAGCATCGTCCGGGGGCATTTGCTATCTTCGGCTAGCATTTTTACTGTTGAATTGTATGCCATTCTTGCAGCACTTATTCGTATCGCATCTATGCCTGTGTCATCATTTGTAGTAGTCTCAGACTCCCTTAGTGCTCTACAGGCTATACGAAAATTTGATACATCTCACCCCCTAGTTCTCCGTATCCAACTTTGGCTACGCCGTATCTCTACCAAACATAAAGATATTGTTTTTTGTTGGGTCCCTGGTCATGTCGACGTACAGGGCAATGAACAGGCAGACACTGCTGCGCGGTCAGCAGTACATGACCTACCAATTTCCTATAGAGGTGTTCCATTTCTGGACTATTTTGCTGCAATAGCTACCCACCTTCGCCACCCGTTGGCAACAACGTTGGTCAACTCTGCTCGGTTACAAACTTCATTCTATTAAACCGAGCATAGGTTACTGGCCGTCTTCTTGTCATCAGTGCCGAGGTTGGGAGACCACCTCTCCCGCCTTCGCATTGGCCACACTCGTCTTACTCATGGGTATCTCATGGAGAGGCACCCTGTTTCCTCTCTGTGAGCAGTGTCAAGTTCCAGTATCGATTAGCCACATTCTGTTAGACTGCCCTCTCTATCAACGAGCACGCAGAATTTACCTCCAACGTCGTCTTCGTTCTACTACTCTCTCTTTACCTTCCCTTCTTGCTGATGGACCCTCCTTTAATCCTGACTCTCTCATTGACTTCTTGACAACGACTGATTTACTCCACAACCTCTGATGATACTTTTCGCACTCCCCTCAGCCCTTTCTAGTTCAGTCTCTTGCTGCCCTTTACCCTTTCACCATCCACTACCCCGCTGTTATCCGTAACCTATTACTCATCCATCTCCCTTTTGCCACCTGATGCCCTCGCTTCCTTCCTGCCCTGCAGCGCTGTATAGTCCTTGTGGCTTAGCGCTTCTTTTTGATTATAATAATAATAATAATCTCCTCACTTACCAACGACTCAGACTTACGACGGGCTCTCTGAAAAGTATGCATAACTTACTCTTATGACCATGCTGTTTTCTGTATCTGCTTTCAACTTCCATACACAAACTGCGCATAGGAGAGGAGGCAGAGGAGCTTACGTTTCAATCTGACTTGGGCCATTTACAAAGTCACACTGCATGACTGTAAATAGTCCAAGTCAGACTGAAACGTTGTTGTAAGCTCCCCCTCCTCCTCTCCTATGTGTGGGCTGTTCCAATCATGGTATTGTGCATTTTTGTTCTTTCAACATCCTTACCTTACACACTATTCTGAATAAATTTCTCTATCAGCTTCTCTGAATCTCTCAGTACTCTAAAGAAATTTGATTTATTTTCCCCTTCCTCAATCAAACCCAAATGTCTTCCATTCAGCCAGGCAGAAGATAGGTTGTTTGGACAGATATATGAGACAGAGCAAAGTAGGTGAGCCTATAAATCTGGAGTAGAGGGAAGGAAAAATGGTTGTCCCAGGAAGGACTGGAGGGAAGAGGTAAGGGAAATGTTGAGTGCTAGGGGCTTGGACATCCAACAGGCTTGTGCAAGTGTATTAGATAGGAATGGAAGCAAGTGGTTTTTATGATATGACATGCTATTGGAGTGTAAGCAAGGTAACATTTATGAAGGCATTCAGGGAAACTAGTTAGCTGGACTGAGTCCTGGAGGAGGGAAGTACAGTGCTTGTACTCTGAAGGAGAGGTAGAGATGTTGCAGTCAAAAGGTTATCTGAGCAGTGATGTCAACATGCCTCTGGCAAGACAGTGAAAGTATTTCTTTTCAGTTCACCCTACCTTGGTAGGAAATGGCTGATGTCTTAAAACAATAGTAACAATAATAATACTGTATCACTTGCAAAACGCAACTGTAACAACTCAGTCTATACACACATATCTACAGTGACATGATGCTTATGACTGATCTATATTGAATATGTGACAGATTAAAATAAGTTTCATAATATAAAAGACTGTTGACATTTGTATTCATTCATTTCACTAGTTAAAGTTGTGTTTTTGTAGACATGATTAGATGAGGTTAAGAGAATGAAGAGCAAAAGTAGACATGTTAGGGAAGGTACCTCTGCACCCTGCTGAGAAGTGACATCCATGAGGTTTTCCCGGCGAAAACTGATGATGGCAAGAGCCAGGACTGGTAAGATCTCCACCGACTCCCAGGCCAGCACAACATCCCATAGGTGGAACAACTGGTCTGGGATCAGGTACCCACTGAACCCACGCACCATCCACTTGAACACTATAGGCAGCCTATGGACAGATGGATAATTGATGAAACCTAACATATTACAGTAGTGTGTAGTATATTAATTGGTTTCAGTTTTCTTTTTTTTTTTAAATTCTAGACTCCTCTGTCTCATTAACGTTATTTTTGCAACTAAAAAAAAAAATTACAAAGTGACACTTGAAAAAAGGAATATCTTCTAATGGTAAAATTTAATCAAGACTTTTCATGAATTGTTAAGGATTATTTTTATTTTATTAACACACTGGCTGTTTCTCACGAAGGTAGGGTGGCCCGAAAAAGAAATTTTCACCATCATTCACTCCATCACTGTCTTGCTAGAGGTGTGCTTACACTACAATAATAAAACTGCAACATTAACACCGTAAATAATCTGTAAAAATTATTTAAAGTGAAAAATATTTTAAATATACTTCTCATACATTGAAACAGTTTGTAGAAGTGAAGTATCATGAGGTTGACAATGAGTGGGGCATCCTGGACTGAAATAATGGGTGGAGCATCCTGAGGCTGACATACTGAGTGGAGCATTCTAGGAGAGCATAATGAATAGAGTATCCTGAAACATGAGTGGAGAATCCTGAATGATAACTCACAATTGTATGTTCATGGAAGCGCAGTGTTGCCAGAGGCGAGTCTCACAGCTCTGCAGCAGCAACTCAAACTGTAATGCTAGAGCTGCAGCACCCTGTGTCCAGGAAGAAAAAGCTAAGTCACATACTGTTATCAGCATACAGATCTAACACCATCACTGAACACTATCATCAACATAATATTCAATACACAGGTGCTTCTTAATTCAGTTTCCATTAACACAAAGCCAAATCATCAAATAATAATAAAGAATATGCACTAAATTAAAGGCTTTCTTATTTTTGTTTTTCGTAAGCCTAAGTGGGAGACAACTGACATGTTAAAAAAAAAAAAGCACTGAAGAATAAAGATTTTATTTCTTTGCAAAGGTTACAATATGCATTATAATTTTGACTTGTTAAGTACAAAGAAAGCCACTATCATGCCGGGGCATTTCGGGTAGACTAATCCTGATACATAACTACTTAAGTCTAGACAAGATAAGAGTGGTTAACTTTTTAATAAATCTTTATTTTATCTTAATGCTAATGTGATGTAGCCAAATTGTGAGTATTGTCGATACAGTATATGCTAATAATCGGTAAGCTCTATGACCCTTTTGTGTTTGGCGCTTAGTTATGATTATAATAATAATAGTAACCTGTAAGACCTGCTTTTACCAGAAATTGCCATAAACTCACTAAACCCAGGTCTGACCTGTGGGTGGCTGGTGACGATGTGGAGACGGTACCAGTAACGACAGTACATCTCTCTGAAGGTGAAATATAGATGAACAGGGTCCTCATAAAGGCAGCTCAGTGGAGCAGCTGCAACAGCACAGCAATCCAGAAGTATTAGTACAATTAACTATAACTACAGTGTTGACTGAAATACTGACATTAATCACAACACTAATACACTCTGACATAACTTTAGTAAAGAAACTGATTTAAAAAAAATATTAATAATGAGGGTCAGCCAATTATTATTATTATAATCAAGGGGGAAGCGCTAAACCCGGAGGATTATACAGCGCCTGGGGGGGGGGATGTGGAAGGCATTCAGGTTTAATTCGGGGAACTGGAGCACAGATCCAATTCCCTAAATCAAGAGCCCCTCACCAACATCAAGGAACCTTCCTTGAGGGGAGGGTCAGCCAAATGTAATATCACTTTAACCCTTTCAGGGTCCAGAGGCCAAATTTCAAAGTGCACACCAGGGTCCAAGAATTTTCTAAAAATAATTTTGTTATTTTTTCTTATGAAATGCTATAGAACCTTTTTCTGAAGGTAATAAAACAAAAAGTACGAAATTTGATGGAAAATTGACGAAATTATGCTCTTGCGAACTTTGATGTGTCAGTGATATTTAAGCACTGGCGATTTTGTCGACTTTGACCTCCATTTTAGGCCAATTACATTATTCCAGTTGACCAAATTCTTAGCTATTTCACTAGTAATACTTCTATTCTATCGACTGAGCACAAGAAATTGCCAACTCAACTGTTTCAACTACAAAATAAAGTGATCAGAAATTAGTAATTTGTCCAATTTAACCCCTTCAGGGTCCAAGGCCCAAATCTGAAGTGGTGCCCCAGTGTCCCAAGAATTTAAAAAAAAAAAAAAATTTTATTTTTTCTTATGAAATGATAGAGAATCTTTTTGTGAAGGTAATAAAACAAAAAGTACGAAATTTGATGGAAAATTGACGAAATTATGCTCTCGCGAATTTTGATGTGTCAGCGATATTTACGAATCGGCAATTTTGCCGACTTTGACTCCCAGTTTAGGCCAATTACAATATTCCAGTCAACCAAATTCTTAGCTATTTCACTAGTATTACTTCTATTCTATCGATTGAGCACGAGAAATCGCCAAGTCAACTCTTTCAACTACGAAATAAAGTTATCGGAAATTGTTAATTTGGCCAATTTAACACAAAGTTCAAAATATTCCAATTTCAAAATGGGGTCCAGAATAAACAATGTAGGTATTCCTGGAACTAAACTAACATTTCCTCTGTTCATTATTTACTTTTTGAGGCTTTACAAATAAATTCCATTTTGATTTTTTATTCACATATTGAATTTTTATTCACACCAAAAAATAGAAGATTTACTGTTATGCAATACTGTAATAATTGTATAAATATCATCACCATATTTGTGAATGCATATTAGACCCACCAGCTGGTGTGTATTAGATGTGTGAGGTCGTTTGTTTACTCTTGAATATCAGCAAAAATTTAACATTTCCGCTACTTTGAGCTCAGTTTCAAGCCATTTCCAGTGCTAAAACCAATCAAAATCATCTCTATTTCTGTAATATGTCTTCCATTCTATCAAATGAGACCAAGAAATCGCAAATACAACTATAAAAAACATACGAAAAAACACTGCAAAGTCGCTGTTTTAATCGAAAAATCATGATTTCAGTTTTTTTCTCTCATTATACACAGTGTGCTGCAGGATCTGTTTTATGTGGTGCACACATACCACATAGATGTATTCTCTCATATCTAGGGCCAAATGTACCACTCACAGTTTATCAGAGTGAGATACACAAATAACCCGCACATATCGTTCCAGTCACGGTATTGTGCCTTTTTTTGTTATTTGTTATTTGTTATCAGAGTGAGCTGAGCTCATGACGTAGATCTACGGTTTGGACCCTGAACGTAAAGCCGTAGATCTACAGGACGGACCCTGAAAGGGTTAATGCAAAGTTCAAAATATTCTAATTTCAAAATAAGGTCCAGAATAAACAATGCAGGCATTCCTGGCACTAAACTAACAATTCCTCTGTTCATCAGTTATGTTTTCAGGCGTTACAAATAAATTCCGTTTTGATTTTTTATTCACATAATGAATTTTTATTCACACCAAAAAATAAAGATTTACTGTTATGCAATATTGTAATAATTGTATAAATAACATCACCACATTTGTGAATGTATATCAGACCCACCAGCTGGCGTGTATTAGACGTGTGAGGTCATTTGTTTACTCTTGAACATCAGCAAAAATTTAACATTTCTGCTTCTTTGAGCTCGGTTTCAAGTGATTTCCATTACTAAAACCAAAATCTTCTCTATTTCTGTAATATATCTTCCATTCTATCAAATGAGACCAAGAAATCGCAAATACAACTATAAAAACATACGAAAAAACACTGCAAAGTCGCTGTTTTAATCGAAAATTACGGTCTCAGTTTTTTTTCTCATTATGCACTGTGTGCTGCAGGATTTGTTTTATGTGATGCACACATACCACATAGATGTATTCTCTCATATCTAGGCCCAAATTTACCGCTCACAGCTTATAAGAGTGAGCTGAGCTCATGGCGTAGATCTACGGTTTGTACCCTCAACGTATAGCCATAGATCTACGACACAGACCCTGAAAGGGTTAAAGACTGGTGATAACAATTTTATATGATGCTTCATTAATAGCATAACTGTATAAAAAAAGCAAATGCTATTGGGTCATTATATATTTGTCTTAAAATAATTATATTTAGGGGTGTGCTAAACCCATAAGGGTCATACAGTTCTTTCTAATAAAAATATTGCATTTTAGCAATCAACTTCAACAAAAATGAAAGTTAAAAGTATTAAATTCACTGACATTTTTCCCTGTTATGTGGTTCACCTAACTACTTCATGTTGTGGTTGACCTAGCTAGCCCATCTGTGACAATTATAGCAAAAAATTACATTACCACCACCTTAATTAATGCCAATACTTATGCAGTAACTATGCTGTTGTAATGCAGTTAACAACTGTAAGAAAAGCTGAAGCTTAAAAATACAAACATCATACAAGTTTAACACTTTTGTGAATATAATCATTATTAAGGAGAACTGAACATAAGCAAAGCAATATGCCTCTACTTTGCTTCATTTCAGTTCCATAGTATTTTATGTACAGGAGGGCCCTGCTTATACAGCAGGTTAGGCTCTGGGCTACCACTGTTAAGCGAAAATCACTGTAAAGTGAAACAGCCGTTTTCTCACTTTCAAATGCATATAAAAGCCTGATAACAGTTTACACTTTTATATATATTAAGTGAGCAATAGAGCTAGGCCTAAAAAATACATATACAGTACACACATTACTTGCTTTAAAATATTTTTGTCCTTAGCTTATAGTAAGTAGTGAATATATTTATTGTAATAAGTCTGAATAAGTGAACGGGTATAATGGAAAACTGCTTCATTAGTGAAACACTGTAAAATGGGGCCCTCCTGTAATGGAAGGGTGTTGTTATTTAGTTTTACTGTCAGCATAATAGACTCACCGTACATGGTAAATCCATGGAAAGGTATTACACCACAGGGAGGGTAGGCTACTAGGGTGTCTGGGGAAGGTGTGTTGCCCCGGGCTGCTGCCAGGGGAGGTGAGGCACTGCTGTGCTCAAAGTGGCTCAGTACCTCAGTGTCACGAAAGAAACACAATAACACCTGTAATAAGTATACAGTACAATATCATCAGCAACATTACACTGTCTTCCACTTTCAGAGGGTAGGAAGGCATATGTTCAAAGATACTAAAGTAATAAACAAAAAATGGATAAAAATATTCAGTGACAACTGCCCCATTTTTATTATCTGTATACAGGAGGGCACCACTTATACAGCAGCTTAGGTTTAAGGCTACTGCCATAAAGCTAAAATTGCCATAAAGTGAATCACTTTTTTTCACTTTTAAATATGTATAAATCTCTGATATATTAAATCTGATATATTAAATTAGCAATAGAACCAGGCATAAAAAAAGTAAAATGCACATACTACAGTACACTCATTACTTACCTTAAAATATTTCTAGTCATAATGTAGGGTGAGGTGAGTAGTATTTATTATAGAAGTCAGGGGTGGTAGCCCACCCAACTACCACACCTCACAGTTATGTTTATTTGTTTTAATATGACTGTATGGTAGGGCCCTGCTTTATGGCGTTTCGCTAATATGGACATTTTAATTTTTTTTTTTTTCAACAAGTTTTTTTCAAAAGAAAGAAAATCCCCAAAAAGAAAATGCTTTCATCATCATTCAACACTTTCACCACACTCACACATAATCACTGTTTTTCCAGAGGTGCTCAGAATACAACAGTTTAGAAGCATATACGTATAAAGATACACAACATATCCCTCCAAACTGCCAATATCCCAAACCCCTCCTTTAAAGTGCAGGCATTGTACTTCCCATTTCCAGGACTCAAGTCCGACTATATGAAAATATCCAGTTTCCCTGAATCCCTTCACTAAACATTACCCTGCTCACACTCCAACAGATCGTCAGGTCCCAAGTACCATTCGTCTCCATTCACTCCTATCTATCACGCTCACGCACGCTTGCTGGAAGTCCAAGCCCCTTGCCCACAAAACCTCCTTTACCCCCTCTCTCCAACCCTTTCGAGGGTGACCCCTACCTCGCCTTCCTTCCCCTATAGATTTATATGCTTTCCATGTCATTCTACTTTGATCCATTCTCTCTAAATGACCAAACCACCTCAACAACCCCTCTTCTGCCCTCTGACTAATACTTTTATTAACTCCACACCTTTTCCTAATTTCCACACTCCGAATTTTCTGCATGATATTTACACCACACATTGCCCTTAGACAGGACATCTCCACTGCCTCCAACCGTCTCCTCGCTGCTGCATTTACCACCCAAGCTTCACACCCATATAAGAGTGTTGGTACTACTATACTTTCATACATTCCCTTCTTTGCCTCCATAGATAACGTTTTTTGACTCCACATATACCTCAATGCACCACTCACCTTTTTTCCCTCATCAATTCTATGATTAACCTCATCCTTCATAAATCCATCCGCCGACACGTCAACTCCCAAGTATCTGAAAACATTTACTTCTTCCATACTCCTCCTCCCCAATTTGATATCCAATTTTTCTTTATCTAAATCATTTGATACCCTCATCACCTTACTCTTTTCTATGTTCACTTTCAACTTTCTACCTTTACACACATTCCCAAACTCATCCACTAACCTTTGCAATTTTTCTTTAGAATCTCCCATAAGCACAATATCATCAGCAAAAAGTAACTGTGTTAATTCCCATTTTGAATTTGATTCCCCATAATTTAATCCCACCCCTCTCCCGAACACCCTAGCATTTACTTCTTTTACAACCCCATCTATAAATATATTAAACAACCATGGTGACATTACACATCCCTGTCTAAGACTTTCTTTTACCGGGAAGTAGTCTCCCTCTCTTCTACACACCCTAACCTGAGCCTCACTATCCTCATAAAAACTCTTTACAGCATTTAGTAACTTATCACCTATTCCATATACTTGCAACATCTGCCACATTGCTCCCCTATCCACTCTATCATATGCCTAAATTAAATTATGACCAAAAATTGTTATATGGCTCCCCCCCCCCAACTCACTAATATGGTCACCACACGCCACTCTGTTTGCTTACATCTTCCGTGAGCTCTGCATCTCTCCATTATGTCTGGAAACTTTCCAAAATTTCAAGTGTTTTAAAGTTATTATGTATTTTATATATATTACATACTCTGATAATTATACTTATGCGTACCTGTACCTAAATAAACTTGCACACTGTGCTGATGTGCAGGTACACATTAAAATCATTAAGTGTGTCTCACTAGTCCTGAAGACACCATATTAACCCTTTGAGGGTCCATAGGCCCTCTCCGAAACTCGTTCTCAGGGTCGGCCAAATTTAAAAAAAAAAAAAAAACTTATTTTCTCTTATGAAAAGATAGAGAATCTTTTCCCAATCATAAGGACACCAAAAGTTTGAAATTTGATGGAAAACTTACAGAATTATGCTTTTGCAAAGTTAGCGGTCTCGGCAATGTTTACGCATCGGCGATTTTGCCCACTTTGAGCCCCATTTTCGGCCAATTCGACTGTACTAGTCAACAAAAAACATGAATATTTCGCTAGAACTCCATTTTTCTATCGAATGGGTGCAAGAAACCACCCATTTATGAAATTCAACTATCCAGTACAGTGGTCAGAATTTAGCAATTTTGCCAATTTCACACAAATTTCAAAAGATGCCAATTTCCGAATAGGGTCCAGAATAAACAAGAAAGACATTCCTGGCACTAAAATGACATTTCCTCTGGTCATCAGTCACGTCTCAAGGCCCCTCTTATATTCTTTTGCTTTCCACTTTCAATTTTTATTCTCACAAAAAATATAAGATTTACTGTTATGCAGACTACTGCATTTGTGTAAAAAATGGTATAAATATTATTGGTACACTTGTGAAAGAATATTAGACTCACCAGTTGACGTGTATTGCACGCTTGGCACGATTTGTTTACTTTCGAAATTTGGTAAAAATTGAACATTTCTGCTACTTTGAGCTCAATTTCAAGGTACTTTTCATTGTAAAACCAGTCAAAATCATCTCAATTTCTGGAATATGTCTTCCATTCTATGAAATGAGACCAAGAAAACTAGAATACAACGATAAATACCATACGAAAATACAGTGCAAAGTCGCTGTTTTATTCCAAAAAAATGGTCAAAGTTTTTTTTTTTCTCATTATGCACTGTGTGCTGCAGGATTTTTTTTAGACTGTGCACACTGACCACACAGACCCATTCTTTCATATGAAGGCCTACCAGCTTTCTCCCACTAGATTTGAGGGCGCTAGAATTTAGGCGTACTAGTACGTCAAAAACCCTGGGTCGTAAGCCGTACTAGTACGTCCGAAACCCTCAAAGGGTTAATAATAATAATTGCTATGGGGTGCTCTAAATGTCGTATATTACATTAATATAAACATTTTCACTAATCCATCTATGATATTTTTTCAAAATTATATAAGAAATATATTACTGTCAAGAAATTTTAATGAAAATAAGAAAAAATTTTGGAGTGAGTTAAACAAGTTAAGAAAGCCTAGGGAAAGTATGGATTTGTCCGTAAAAAATAGAGTAGGGGAGTTAGTAGATGGGGAGAGGGAGGTATTAGGTAGATGGCGAGAATATTTTGAGGAACTTTTAAATGTTGAGGAAGAAAGGGAGGCGGTAATTTCATGCACTGGCCAGGGAGGTATACCATCTTTTAGGAGTGAAGAAGAGCAGAATGTAAGTGTGGTGGAGGTACGTGAGGCATTACGTAGAATGAAAAGGGGTAAAGCAGCTGGAACTGATGGGATCATGACAGAAATGTTAAAAGCAGGGGGGGATATAGTGTTGGAGTGGTTGGTACTTTTGTTTAATAAATGTATGAAAGAGGGGAAGGTACCTAGGGATTGGCGGAGAGCATGTATAGTCCCTTTATATAAAGGGAAAGGGGACAAAAGAGATTGTAAAAATTACAGAGGAATAAGTTTACGGAGTATACCAGGAAAAGTATACGGTAGGGTTATAATTGAAAGAATTAGAGGTAAGACAGAATGTAGAATTGCGGATGAGCAAGGAGGCTTCAGAGTGGGTAGGGGATGTGTAGATCAAGTGTTTACATTGAAGCATATATGTGAACAGTATTTAGATAAAGGTAGGGAAGTTTTTATTGCATTTATGGATTTAGAAAAGGCATATGATAGAGTGGATAGAGGAGCAATGTGGCAGATGTTGCAAGTTTATGGAATAGGTGGTAAGTTACTAAATGCTGTAAAGAGCTTTTATGAGGATAGTGAGGCTCAGGTTAGGGTGTGTAGAAGAGAGGGAGAATACTTCCCAGTAAGAGTAGGTCTTAGACAGGGATGTGTAATGTCACCATGGTTGTTTAATATATTTATAGATGGGGTTGTAAAAGAAGTAAATGCTAGGGTGTTCGGGAGAGGGGTGGGATTAAATTATGGGGAATCAATTTCAAAATGGGAATTGACACAGTTACTTTTTGCTGATGATACTGTGCTTATGGGAGATTCTAAAGAAAAATTGCAAAGGTTAGTGGATGAGTTTGAGAATGTGTGTAAAGGTAGAAAGTTGAAAGTGAACATAGAAAAGAGTAAGGTGATGAGGGTATCAAATGATTTAGATAAAGAAAAATTGGATATCAAATTGGGGAGGAGGAGTATGGAAGAAGTGAATGTTTTCAGATACTTGGGAGTTGACGTGTCGGCGGATGGATTTATGAAGGATGAGGTTAATCATAGAATTGATGAGGGAAAAAAGGTGAGTGGTGCGTTGAGGTATATGTGGAGTCAAAAAACGTTATCTATGGAGGCAAAGAAGGGAATGTATGAAAGTATAGTAGTACCAACACTCTTATATGGATGTGAAGCTTGGGTGGTAAATGCAGCAGCGAGGAGACGGTTGGAGGCAGTGGAGATGTCCTGTCTAAGGGCAATGTGTGGTGTAAATATTATGCAGAAAATTCGGAGTGTGGAAATTAGGAGAAGGTGTGGAGTTAATAAAAGCATTAGTCAGAGGGCAGAAGAGGGGTTGTTGAGGTGGTTTGGTCATTTAGAGAGAATGGATCAAAGTAGAATGACATGGAAAGCATATAAATCTGTAGGGGAAGGAAAGAGGGGTAGGGGTCGTCCTCGAAAGTGTTGGAAAGACAGGGTAAAGGAGGTTTTGTGGGCGAGGGGCTTGGACTTCCAGCAAGCATGCATGAGCGTGTTAGATAGGAGTGAATGGAGACAAATGATACTTGGGACCTGACGATCTGTTGGAGTGTGAGCAGGGTAATATTTAGTGAAGGGATTCAGGGAAACCGGTTATTTTCATATAGTCGGACTTGAGTCCTGGAAATGGGAAGTACAATGCCTGCACTTTAAAGGAGTGGTTTGGGATATTGGCAGTTTGGAGGGATATGTTGTGTATCTTTATACGTATATGCTTCTAAACTGTTGTATTCTGAGCACCTCTGCAAAAGCAGTGATAATGTGTGAGTGTGGTGAAAGTGTTGAATGATGAAAGTATTTTCTTTTTGGGGATTTTCTTTCTTTTTTGGGTCACCCTGCCTCGGTGGGAGACGACCGACTTGTTGAAAAAAAAAAAAAAAAATATATATAAACATAATACATACACCCACAGTAGAATGTAAATTTGACAAATATAAGATGTGGTAGCTGGGCGACTTGTAGGAGTGACAGCAAGAATTACGTTTTCTCTAGTCCAACATCAGTGAAAGTGTGTATACTATAGTATTACTGGCAACTGCAGAACATTATTCCTTTTGTATGCCTTCATTTGTAGCTATTTATTTTTTCTGCTGCATTAACGTGAAGACAACTTGTACACAAAGTGTTTGTGTTGTGGGGTCAATGCTTCACCAACTCATGCAAATGTACATACTTGTTTGAATCAAAAGTAAACAGGTATTAATACACATCTGGCCGAGTGACTCCCCTTACACCTTTGTCTGTTTCTTTACAATTCTCAGCATCTCCTCCTCTCTCTCTCATTTACTCATTCTCTTTCATTTATGGTGGCATCTAAGGGCAGTTGTTAGAAATGATTAAACTCAGTGAACAAGGTATGTCGATGGTAATAATAATAATCACTCTGGGGCACTTTAAATTTAAGTTATATATTTCGAGTAGGTGTGGTAGCTGGTGTAGTACCTACCACACCTGACTTTTTTCTATAATAAATACTCACCTCTCACCCTACATTAAGACTACACATATTTTAACGTTAGTAATGAGTATACTGTATGTTTATTTTATTGCTTTGGGCTGCTTTAAATATCGTATATTAACCCTTTGAGGGTCAGTCCCATACATGTACGGCTTACCAGCCAGGGTCAGTCCCATACTTATACGTCAAAATTCTAGCGCCTTTAAATCGAGTGGGAGAAAGCTGGTAGGCCTACATGTGAGAGAATGGGTCTGCGTGGTCAGTGTATGCAGTAGGAAAAAATCGGGGCACCTGCACTGCATTGTGGGAATGCCATTTCAGTACGCCTTGTTTACCATGCCTCGTAGTATGAAACTCCTCACCCCCAGGTGAATTGGGACTCTTCTGTTCCCAAGTGAAAAGCAGGGGTGCCACGAGTACACTGACAGATAACACAGTAAGTGTCTGGGGCCCAAAACTGTTCAACTGCCTCCCAGCAAACATAAGGGGGGATTACCAATAGACCCCTGGCTGTCTTCAAGAAGGCACTGGATAGGCACCTAAAGTCAGTACCTGACCAACTGTTCCATGGTTTGTACGTCAGTTTGCGTGCAGTCGGCAGTAACAGCCTGGTTGATCAGACCCTGATCCACCATGAGGCCTGGTCTCAGACCGAGCCACGGGGGCATTGACCCCCAAAACCCTCTCCAGGTAAACTCCAGGTAAGTGATAGTTCTAGCACAGATGGAAGTGTCAGCGAAGATGAATTTCATGGTTTTGAGAAGTTTGTGAACAAAAGTAATGAACATAATATCGGTAATAGTGATGAAAGCCCAGATGGCCCTCAACCTTCCACCTCTGGTACTAGGCCATCTTTTTCACGTTCAGTTGTACCAGAATGAAAGAGGAAACTCATATTTTCCCGTGTCCAGGACCCAGATGTAAGCAGTGGTGATGATAGTGAATATATCTAAGCTCTTGCAAACAGTTCCAGTAGCGAGAGCGAAGTGGAATATTCTCCGGTGAAGCGTCAGTATGTATGACACTACATGCACTCTGGTAGTGTGCCATGTGCTATTCCAAGGGAAAGGAGTACATCTCGTGGCCATACAACAGGAACAGATAGTGAAAATAAAGATGATACTGTTACAATTGGGATGGATAATGTGCATGCATCATCAGATGGTGGTGGTGCCATGCACCATGAGACACCAGCAGTGCCCCATGCTGGTACCCACGCTGCTGACTCAGCTGAGCTACAACAAAGCTCGCCCTCACCCACCCACCCACCACACCAACCTGCACAACCACAACCTTCACAACCACAACCACCTGTTAATATCCAGTACCCACCAGCAGACAGCATCTGGGATTGGCAGGAAGATGCCAATTTTGTTCCCAATCCCCATCACTTTGATGAAAGTTGAAGTGGAATATGGCCATCTTGTATACTTGGGAACAATGCCACTGAACTGGAATGTTTCGAGTTATTCTCTGATGAACCCATGATGGAAATTATTGTCAGGGAAAGCAACACATACTTTGATTACACCATGGCAAACACAATTCTTTCACCAAGATCATGCCAACACCAGTGGAAGGGCACAACTGTGGCTGAGATGTATCTTTTCTTTGCCACAATAATGCTTATGCCAGATGTGTATAAGCACAGTGTCAAATCATACTGGTCAACAGATCGCCTGATTGCAACCCCAGTTTTCAGTGATATAATACCAGTGAATCAATTTGTGCTACTATTATGTATGCTACACTTCTCGGACAAAACCAGGCCTGACAGAAAAGACAGGTTATATAAGATTAGGAATGTGTTTATGTATCTGAAACAAATTCTCTATGTATTTTCATCTCTTCAGGAAGCTTGTTATTGATGAGTCTTTGATCTTGTTCTTAGGTAGACTGTCATTCAAGCAGTATATACCAAGCAAGAGGAAACGCTTAGGTATAAAGTTGTTTGTACTTTGTGATTGCTAGTGGTCTTGTATTGGATATTATTGTGTACACTGGAAGTAATACATTGCAAGATACCAGGAAGTTACTAGGTATCTCTGGTGATGTGGTTAGAACAATGATGGAACCATATCTTGTTAAGGGGCATATATTATATATTGATGACTGGTACACAAGCCCCTTACTCAGTGATTTTTTTTTTGCAAGTGAATATGACAGATGTGTGCAGTACAGTGTGTGCAAATCATAAGCATATGCCTAAGTTCGAGTTTGGCACTCACAGAGGGAAGGTGCAGGCGTTTGCTGCGAATGACATTATGGCATTTCGGTGGCATGACAAACGAGATGTCACACTGTTGACATCAATTCACTGAAATGAAATGACAGATACTGGCAGGCAGAATAGAGACCAATGAACCCATTCTAAAACCTGCAGCTGTGGACTACACCCTCAATACGTACTTAGTGGACAAATGTGACATGCAAATAGGGTTTGCTGATTGTGTTCACAAGAGTTATAAGTGGTATATAAAACTCTTTTTTCATCTTCTGGACATTTCCATGCTCAATGCTTATAATATGTATAAGTTGAAAACCAGAAACAAACCACCATATGGTCAATTTTGTTTGTCCTGTCATTAGAGAAATATTATTCAAGTACCAAGTAACAACACTTGCAACAGAAAACCGCCTATGAACTGATCAACAACTACCCTCTCGTCTGAGGCCTGGTGATCACTACCTAATACAACTGCCTCCTACTACAAAGAAAACTGCTCAGAAGAGGTGTTTTGTCTGTGCACATACAAAAAAAAAAAAAAAAAAACACAGACACTCGTTTTATGTGTGAGGAGTGTAAAACACCACTGTTCATAACACCATGTTTCAAAGAGTTCCACAAGCTGCAGCACTTCTAGGAAGATGTCCAGTGACTCTATATGTGTTTATATATTATAGAAAAATAGTAATAAATAACATTTTATTGTTGGTTCATGTGTACATATTTTGTAAACCATAGAACAACAACAATGTTTGTGCGGTTATTGTGTAGCATATGAGTGAATTTATATACAATATACCTTATACTGGTCTCACAGACCATAAAAGTTACTTGAAAAAATAAAATATTAAAAAATAAAAGAAAATAGTACATTAAAAGTAAATATAAGATTACCGAGTGACTGGCAGTCGGTGATGTTGGGATAAGTGATTCACTTTCTGTCACCTTCAAGCCTCTATATCTTGGTAAGTATTGATCACAAAGAAAAAAAAAAAATTGGCCTGTTACAATCAGAAAAATATTCTAAAGATTTTGGTAAGAAAAAATAATTTTTTTTTTCCGAATATTTTTTGACCCTGGGTGGGAGTGAATGATCAAGGGTCTCAACCCTCAAAGGGTTAAGTGTAGACATAGTATCTAGGCAGGCTACCATACCTACCACACCTGACTTCCTACAATAAATACTACTCACCTGTTTTGTGACCTGAGGGGAAAACATGTATTATACTACAGTATTTATACTTGTACAGCTTTTGTGGACAATGATTCATCTATCTACTGAGGGGTTACAGGCTTACCTGGAATAATATATCTTCAAATACAAAGTACTGGTCATCATTAGAAGCTGTCAGCTGGATGTCCTGTGGAAATATTTGTAGAGTGAGCATAATAATCACTGCTTCTTAGAATCAACTGGAAAAGTTATACAAATTTATTTAGCCATTGAAGGTTTAGATTTATGGAAAGTGTAACTAGTGTGTACAGTGAGAACCTCACCTTCATGATAAGCTTATCCACCAAGAGTTCGTGTTGCATCACTGCCTGCACCAGCTCATCCATGTACTTGCAGTGCTGCCATTAAAATTGTCTTTACAGAATTTTTCAATAAAGCTTGTTTCACCAGTCACACATTCTCTAGACAAATGTAGACATAAATGCCACAAAGTGACTTGGGACATTTTATTCCACAAGCTAATTACTTCTTCAAACATACGTCTTTCCTCATTTCTATTATCAGTTGTAGTGTACATACCAGTAATCATATTCCTGCCTTATTTATAAGTCCTGGAGGAGGGAAGGGCAGTGCCTGCACTCCTTCAATAACTAGTCAGAATATCCTCTCCATCTTTCCAGTACTATATCTCTACCTCCCCATCATACATTACTCATTTTTTATTTGAACTGCTGAATCTATTTGCTCTCCAGGCTTCCTCACTTAATCTCTCTTCAGTATTTACATGATAGTTACATTATTTTATCAATATTATTACTTATCGATATAATAATTATGTTTACTCATAATAATTTAAACAAAATTACATTAATCTTAATAATAATAATAATTATCTGTATCTGTGGAGACAAAGAACATTATCTATGAATGTGAAGAAGGGAATGTATGAGAGTATAGTGGTACCAACACTCTTATATAGGTGTGAAGCATGGGTTGTGAATGTTGCATCAAAGAGGAAGTGGAGATGTTGTGTCTAAGGGCAATATGTGGTATAAATATCATGCAGAGAATTTGTAGTGTGAGAGTTAGGAGAAGGTGTGGAGGAGGAGGAGGAGGAGAGGGATGAAAAGGAGTTGCTGAGGTGGTTTGGTCATTTAGAGAAGGAGCAAAATAAGAGGACTTGGAAGGTGTATAAATCTGTAGTGGAGGGAAGGCGGGTCAGGGGTCTTCCTAGGAAAGGATGGAGGGGGGAAGGTAAAGGAGGTTTTGTGTGTAATGGGCTTGGACATACAGCAAGCATGTGTGAGCATGTTAGATAAGAGTGGGGATTAATGGTTTTTGGGACTTGATGAGCTGTTGGAGTGTGAGCAGGGTAATGTTTTGTGAAAGATAGAGAAACCGGTTAACTGGACTTGAGTCCTGGAGGTGGGAAGTACAGTGCCTGAACTCTAAAGGGAAGATTTGGGTTATTTGCTGTGAAAGTGTTTCTTTTTTGGGTTACCCTGCCTTGCTGGGGAAATGGCCAGCATGTTTAAAAAAATTTATAATAATAATAAAGGTAACAATAGAAATATACTGTATATACACAGAAAAGTTATCAAAGTGGAACTACATTCATGAAGGCTGTGTATCACAGCCCTACTCTAGCTACCAAATCAAGATTGAACAAGTATAAAGTAGAAGCGAGGCCAAAGGGCAGTAACACACCTTATCAGTAATCTCTAGCCCCAGTACTTGGTGCCAGAGGCTGCCTCGGAGGCTAGCAGGACATCCAGTTTTGCACAGCTCACGACTCAGTGGCCCATGGTTCCTCTCCACTACTAGTGTGCACATACACACAAACCATTGATAATTTTAAAAAATTATAAATTTACAACAAAAGACAATAAACTATAAACATAAGCCATGTTCCTGTAACTACTAATAAACAATTACACTTGAAACCTCAAATTCATGAGTGTTCTAATGCACATGTTTTGATTATCCAGTATTAGTAGTGAAGAACCTGCTTACAATAGTTTCAACTGTTTACATTTTTCCAAGATGCCTATTACTTTTTAGCTTAGCTGGTAACTAACAATAAGAGTTTATTCAAGATGTACATAATGGATTTCCAACACCTAAATCTGTTTCCTTTCTGATAATTTTTTCTATCAAATGTCAGTATTAACTACATAGTAGATAAGAGCAGTATTGGAATGTGAGCAGGGTAATGTTTTCTGAAGGGATTCGGGGAAACCAGTAATCTGGACTTGAGCCCTGGAGATGAAAAGTACATTGCCTGCACTTTAAAGGAAGGGTTTGGGATATTGAATGTTTGGAGTGACACCTCTAAGCTTAATTTGCAAAATAAATTTCAGTCCCTATCAATTCAGATGACAATTGAAATCACCAATGATAATTGTATAAGGACACCTAAACACGAAGTTCTAGCTGTTGTTATTATTATTATTATTATAATCAAAAAGAAGCGCTAAGCCACAAGGGCTATACAGTAGCTGTTGTTGCTCTGTAACAACAACTGAAAAATGCCTGATTTTCATTATAACATTGTGCAAGCCAAAAATCACATTATTTTAAGGTCTGTTTTCTCCCTTCAAGGGCAAAATGCCTATCCAGAATATAGACATCTTGTAGTTTGGAATCTGCACTTTCTAATAAAGGTTTTATAAGAAAATAGCCTAAAATTCACTATGAGGTCTGTGAGGGCATTTTTAGGTACCATTAACACAGGAACTAAAAATGTTTGGAGTCTGATATTTTAGGATTGTGATGATGTCCAATTGGGTAGCTGGCTACAATAATGTCATACTAAAATAATGTTTTCCTTTAGAGATATAGACAGCTGAATTCAAGATTCAATTTTAAGCAACACTGTTTTGCCTACTTTGGCTTCATACTGTGAAAAAAGTAAAAGCATGCAAGTTTTATGACTACAATTTTTGAAATCAGCTCCGAAAGTTGTATAGACATGTCTACTTACACAACTTTTATTCTTCAAGATCTGCCACAGCAATAACCTGAAAGACTGATTGTGTGCTGCAGGTCAGTGAAATTTTCATCTGCCATAGCATTACTATTATTACATATCATGAACTAAAATTTTCCCAAACTTAGTTTGATATACATGCCAACCTTCATGTAAAATTATATCAAAATTGGAGCTGGAATGACCCAAATCCTGATAATTATTATTATTATTATTAAAGCAGTCACAAAAAGAGGATATCCCCAAAGGTAAACCTTAAGTTGTTGCCAGAATTTTTTTGTCTTTCGAAGTTCCAGTTTTTTCTCATTTGATCTACTTCAAATTTTCAATGCAGGTGTATTGTAACTTGGACAAGATTACTTGAATGTCTCCAAAAGTCCCTGTTGCTTGGCATCAAACATTCAAAAAATGGTGGCTCTTAATTCAATGATGGTAGACAGTGAAAAGAAATTCAAGTGTGTATGTGAAATTCTCATTCTAATTAACCCTTTAACTATCCAAACATTGATCTACATTTTCACTGCTATTGCTCTGAATATTTTTATTTTTTTTTAAACAAAGAGGACAATTTTCTGTGTAATAAGACCAAAAAAAATTTAAGGGCCAGTACTTATCAAGATGCAAGGTGGCCAACTTGGCACTAGATGCTCACCTGACGGCAACACGGAGGCCTGCCACTTGCAGAAATGTTACTGATATACCTTTTTTTCTCATTTTTTTTTAGTCTACATTATTTTTATGTTTGGAAGGATATGTTATATATCTTTATATATGCTTCTAAACTGTTGTATCTGGGCACCTCTGCCAAGACAGTGATTATGTATGAGTGAGGTGAAAGTGTTGAATGATGATGAAAGTAGTTTCTTTTTGAGGATTTTCATTCTTTTTGGGTCACCCTGCCTTGGTGGGAGACGGCCGACTTGCTGAAAAAAAAAATACAATTTACAGCACAGTAGGACCCCTGTATCCGTGGGATACGTTCCAAGGACCTGCTGTGTATACCGAAAGCATGGATAGTAGCAAACCCTATATATATAAGTCATACACATACCTATTATAAAGTTTAAGTGATAAATTATGCACAATAATGGACAATTATCACTTTTTCACTGATGGGAAGCACTTCACGACTTCTCTTAGGTTTAAAAAACTGCCAGTTTCTCTACTTTTGTGCTTTGAGGCCTATTATTATGCAAAATTAAGAGATATTTTTAAGCCACAGTAAACTGTGAATAACTGAAACTGCGGATACCAAATCAGTGAAAATGGGGGTTCTACTGTACTTCTTGTGATTTTATAGTCAATCTTTATTCTCATACCAATATTAGGCACAAAAATAGTAATCAGTCAAAAACACACTCGGCAGGTGAACATGTTCACCTGCCTTGGTAGCATACTGTTGTCTAGAAATATATACAAATTATTTATTGGTCCCTGCAATGTTTTTAGAAATGCTGAGTATATGAAGCACGGTGTCAGGCAAGAGAGTCACTCTACATTGCTGACGGTGCAGTCACTCAATATATATAATTTTTTATTTGTTCTCACTGTTCCACACATATAAACATGCCTGTCACTGTCTGCCTCTCTCTCTCTCTCTCTCTCTCTCACTTTCTCTTTCACTTTCTCTCTGTCTCAGAGAAAGCCGCTCATCAACACCAAAAGTTTAAATCAGAGCAGAAGAGTCATTCTGCAGTTATTGAACAGATTCCATCATACAGTGATTGTGGAATGTGATGCACTCAGAGTCGATTATAACAAGTATTACACATAGCAGAATCATCATGTCTGAAAAACTGGAAATGCATATTACTTGCCACAGTCATGCTCATGCCTCATCTAAAAGCACAGTTTAGCACTTTGTCTGGCTTTTCTTTGGGTTATCATACGTAATTTACACTATGTATAACTGTACTTATGTGTACCCGTGCCTAAATAAACTTAGTCCCTGATTTTTAGCTCATGAGACTCTCTGAAACAGAGACAGGCAGACAGAAAGAGAGAGATACAGGGACAGACAGACCTAGCCAGCCAGCTAGCCAGAGTCATCTAGCCAGTCAGCCAGCTAGCTGAACATGTTTTACACATGTTGCAGAATTATTTCTCTCTCTTTACTTAGGGCAAAGGTGATAGGATATTCTGGCAGGATACTACCAGTTGCATCAGAATTGAAAGGATGTGGCACAAATGTTGCACATGGGTTATCCACATTTTTTATATTCCTTGACCAATTGTGATCACATTCATCTCAAAGCCTCTAAACTTGGGGTCAACATCATTTTCCTCCTAAAAGGAAAGTGTTAATACAACATGGTATTAGTGAAACCCAGAGGTTTGCCACACTGTTTGCTCTAGCTGGTGCTCAGTTGAACTGGTGCCCCCACAAGGTATTAAGTGGTCCCAGATTTTTTTTAATACAGCACACACTGAGTTTTAAAGCCCATTCTATGCTGCCTAGGCCTATCAGCCCTTTGACGCTAAATTCAAAGGCAGGAAAAATAAAACATCGATCTAAATTTGGAGCACTAGGAGTAAGAATGTAGATTAATGTTTGGACAATAAAGGGTTAAGTCACCCGGGAATATTAGTTTTTATGGGATGACTTGTGAAGCCTCTTCCAATTTGCTTCAGATCATCAGTGCTAATATTTAACTGCATTACAAATTTACATTGCACTCTGCACTAGTCCAGTTGTGTGTATTAAGGTACGAGGACCAGGGTTATGCAATACAGGGATATCTTGAATTGTGCAATGGCTTAAATACATCTAGTCGTTATAATTATTATTACAGTGAACCCCCAGTTATCGGCCAACTCGGTTATCGGTGGGGTTTTCGGCGCTCGCTTATCGGCCGTTTTGGACGCGTCCATCCGCCGCCTGAGGCAGCTTGCGCTTCAGTTTGGCTTTGTCTCTCGGTGGGTGGGGAAGCTTCTGCTCATGCATCCAAACATTTCACTTGTTTACCATTGTTTTTAGTGGTTTTTCTTGCAGTACAACTGTGAAATAAGTAACCATGGCTCCAAAGAAAGTTCCTTGTAAAGTTCCTGTGGTAAAGAAAGTGAGAAACACCATGGAATTTAAGTGTGAAGTGATACAAAAATATGAGAGTGGTATGAAGGTGGTGGAACTTGCCAGGATGTACAGCAAGAATAAATCAACAATTATATCCATCCTGGCAAAGAAAGAACAAATCAAAGATGCTAATGTTGCAAAAGGAGTAACTTTTCTAACTAAACAAAGGCCACCAATAATAGAAGAGATGGAAAATTTATTATTATTGTGGATTCAGGAAAAACAATTAGTGGGAGACAGTGTTGTGGAGTCGATCATTTGTGAGAAGGCAAAGCAATTCCATGAGGATCTTACAAAGAAAATGCCTGGAACAAGTGCTGCAGTTTGTGAATTTAGGGCCAGCAAAGGATGGTTTGATAGATTTAAGAAGCAGAGTGGCATACACAGTGTTGTAAGGCATGGTGAGGCTGCAAGTTCTGACAAATGTGCAGCTGAAAAGTATGTTCACGAATTCCAGGACTATGCAAAGGCTGAAGGATTCAAACCCCAACAAGTTGTGACGAAACAGGCCTGTTTTGGAAGAAAATGCCAAACAGGACCTACATTACCCAGGAGGAAAAGGCACTGCCAGGACACAAGCCTATGAAAGACAGGCTTACTCTTTTGTTGTGCGGTAATGCTAGAGGGGATTTCAAAGTGAAGCCTTTACTTGTGTATCACTCAGAAAATCCCAGTGTGTTTAAGAAAAACAATGTCATGAAGAACAGATTGTGTGTGATGTGGAAAGCTAATCATAAGGCATGGGTCACAAGGCAAATTTTCAAAGAGTGGGTTAATGATGTGTTTGGTCCAAGTGTGCAAAAATACCTCCTGGAAAAGAAATTGCCACTCAAGTTCCTCCTGTTACTGGACAATGCTCCTGCACATCCTCCAGACTTGGAAGACCAAGTGTTTAGGGACTTCAGTTTTATAACAGTGAAGTTCTTGCCTCCTAACACCACTCCTCTCCTCCAGCCCATGGACCAGCAGGTCATTTCTAACTTCAAAAAACTCTACACAAAAGCAACATTTCAAAAGTGCTTTGAAGTGACCTCGGACACTCAGTTGACCCTAAGACGGTTCTGGAGGAATCACTTCACTATCCTCCATTGCATAAGCCTTATAGGTAAGGCTTGGGAGGGAGTGACTTCCAGGACTTTGAACTCTGGAGAAAACTGTAGCCAGATTGTGTCCGAGAGAGGGATTTTGAAGGGTTTGAGACTCACCGTGACCCTGACCCTGTGGACTCTATTGTGTCTTTGGGGAAGTCCCTTGGGTTAGAGGTGAGTGGTGGGGATGTGGAAGAGTTGGTGGAGGACCACAGGGAAGAGCTTACCACTGAAGAGCTGCAAGAGCTTCAACTTGAACAGCAACAGACTGCAGCTGAGGAACTTGCTTAAGAGGATTAGGAAGAGGGAGTGAAGGAGGTGCCTTCTTCAAAGATTAAAGAGGTGTGTGCAATGTGGACCAGGGTGCAAGCTTTTGCAGAGAAACACCACCCTGACAAAGCTGAAACAAGCCATATCTGCAACATGTTTAGTGACAAAACCCTGTCCCACTTCAGGGAAATATTAAACAGACGCCAGAAACAGAGCACTCTGGACAGTTATTTTGTGAGACAGGGGTCCAGTGACTCTCAATCTGGTTCTAGTGGCATTAAAAGACAGAGAAGGGAAGTAACCCCAGAGAAGGCATTACTACCTAAAGTCTTCATGGAGGGGGCTTCTCCTTCCAAACACTAACTCCTCCCTCTTTCCTCCTCCCTATCTTCCAGAAGTCAGCATTAGCCTTCAATAAAGGTATGTAATACTTACATAATTGTAAAAAAAAAAAATATTTTTTTGTGAATATTTTTGTTTGGAACGAATTGATTTTATTTCCATTAATTCTTATGGGAAATATTAATTCGGTTATTGGGCATTTTGGCTATCAGCCGACCTTCAGGAACGGATTACGGCCGATAACCGGGGGTCCATTGTATTATTATTATGTAGTGACATTATTCAAGATAACAAGAATCCAGGTGAGGGGAGGAATATACTGGAAACCCACTACTACTACTATTTTTGGCATGATATAGCTACATGATCCATACAGAGTGAGTACTGGTTTTTATTCATAATAAACTTTAGGTGCCATAAGCCTCACCTTTCTGTCCGATGATGAGTCTTTCTTCAGCCAGAGTCATACTAGGCTTGTATTCCCCTGCCACCATCTCATCTAGTCCAGTGTGCTTACAGCAGGTAGCAAGCTCACCATATAGCTCTACCTGCAACACCACCACTACATTATACTCAATTCATGACTCAATGTCATTATATTCAAAGGCCAGTCTTTTTCTTTTAAAGCAAGATTTCCATGAGACTTACTGGTATAGCAGTATGGTGCTGTTGACCTAGCTCATCAGTGACTCACCAAACTATAAGACTCACCAAACCCTTGATGTCGTTGACTTTGAGTGGTAACTGGATACTTCCCCACAGATTTTCTTCTCTGTTGAAGAAAAAATAAATTTATCAACCTAATGAGATTTAAGCAATAATATCACTTCATATCAAGAGCTGTGACAGCACTGCACCATTTTATATCATAATGCAAAGAGCAGCAGTATCCAACAATGTCCTTATTTTCACGCTAAGGCAAGTTGAGGCCTATTTAATTTCTCAAATACAGAAGAAATAACTTTTTTTTTATGTTTACTGGATAAAGTGTCAGATTAATTATTTTATTTTTTTAACAAGTCAGCTGTCTCCCACCGAGGCAGGGTGACCCAAAAAGAAAGAAATCCCCAAAAGGAAAATACTTTCATCATCATTCAACACTTTCACTCACTCACACATAATCACTGTTTTTGCAGAGGTGCTCAGAATACAACAGTTTAGAAATACATACGTATAAAGATACAGAACATATCCCTCCAAACTGCCAATATCCTAAACCCCTCCTTTAAAGTGCAGGCATTGTACTTCCCATTTCCAGGATTCAAGTCCTGCTATATAAAATAACTGGTTTCCCTGAATCCCTTCACTAAATATTACCCTGCTCACACTCCAACAGCTCGTCAGGTCCCAAATACCATTCGTCTCCATTCACTCCTATCTAACATGCTCACGTAAGCTTGCTGGAAGTCCAAGCCCCTCGCCCACAAAACCTCCTTTACCCCCTCCCTCCAACCTTTTCGTCGATGACCCCTACCCCGCCTTCCTTCCCCTACAGATTTATATGCTCTCCATGTCATTCTACTTTGATCCATTTTCTCTAAATGACCAAACCACCTCAACAACCCCTCTTCAGCCCTCTGACTAATACTTTTATTAACTCCACACCTTCTCCTAATTTCCACACTTGGAATTTTCTGCATAATATTTACACCACACATTGCCCTTAGGACATCTCCACTGCCTCCAATCGCCTTCTTGCTGCAGCATTTACAACCCAAGCTTCACACCCATATAAGTGTTGATACTACTATACTTTCATATATTCCCTTCTTTGCCTTAATAGATAACATTTTTTGTCTCTACATATACCTCAATGCACCACTCACCTTTTCTCCTTCATCAATTCTGTGATTAACCTCATCCTTCATAAATCCATCAGCTGACACGTCAACTCCCAAATACATGTATCTGAAAACATTCACTTCTTCCATACTCCTCCTCCCCAATTTGTTATCCAATTTTTCTTTATCTAAATCATTTGATACCCTCATCACCGTACTCTTTTCTATGTTCACTTTCAACTTTCTACCTTTACACACACTCCCAAACTCACCCACTAACCTTTGCAATTTTTCTTTAGAATCTCCCATAAGCACAGTATCATCAGCAAAAAGTAACTGTGTTACTTCCCATTTTGTATTTGATTCCCCATAATTTAATCCCACCCCTCTCCCGAACACCCTAGCATTTACTTCTTTTACAACCCCATCTATAAATATATTAAACAACCATGGTGACATTACACATCCCTGTCTAAGACCTACTTTTACCGGGAAGTAGTCTCCCTCTCTTCTACACACCCTAACCTGAGCCTCACTATCTTCATAAAAACTCTTTACGGCATTTTAGTAACTTACCACCTATTCCATATACTTGCAACATCTGCCACATTGCTTCCCTATCCCCTCTATCATATGCCTTTTCTAAATCCATAAATGCAATAAAAACTTCCCTACCTTTATCTAAATACTGTTCACATATATGCTTCAATGTAAACACTTGATCTACACATCCCTACCCACTCTAAAACCTCCTTGCTCATGTGCAATTCTACATTCTGTCTTACCTCTAATTCTTTCAATAATAAACCTACCGTACACTTTTCCTGGTATACTCAGTAAACTTATTCCTCTATAATTTTAACACTCTCTTTTGTCCCCCTTCCCTTTATATAAAGGGACTATACATGCTCTCTGCCAATCCCTAGGTACCTTCCCCTCTTTCATACACTTATTAAACAAAAATACCAACCACTCCAACACTATGTCTCCCCCTGCTTTTAACCCTTTGACTGTTTCGGTCGTATATATACGTCTTACACACCACTGTTTCTGACGTATTTATACGCGTAAATTCTAGCAGCTTCAAATCAAGCGGGAGAAAGCTGGTAGGCCCACATGTGAGAGAATGGGTCTGTGTGGTCAGTGTGCACCACATAAAAAAATTCCTGCAGCACGCAGTGCGTAGTGAGAGAAAAAAACTTTGACCGTTTTTTTCGATTAAAACGCTGAAATTGATGTGTATTTTCATATAGTATTTATCGTTGTATTCTTGTTTTCATGGTCTCAGGTGATAAAATGGAAAACATATTACAGAAATAGAGATGATTTTGATTACTTTCACGATGAAAACCACCTTGAAATTGAGCTCAAAGTAGCGGAAATGTTCGATTTTTACCAATGTTCAGGAGTAAGCAAATCACACCACACGTCCAATACACTTCAACTGAGGAGTCTAATATTCTTTCACTAGCACACTGATATTATTTATACCATTTTTACAATAATGCAGTAGTCTGCATAACAGTAAATTTTGTATTTTTTTTTGGTATGAATAAAAAATAAAAATAGAAAGCGATAGTAATATAAGAGGGGCCTAGAGACGTGACTAATGAACAGAGGATATGTTATTTTAGTGCCAAGAATGTCTACATTGTTTATTCTGGACCCTATTTTGAAATTAGCATCTTTTTTAAGCTGTGTGAAATTGGCCAAATTGCCAATTTCTGACCACTTTATTGGGTAGTTCAAGTCAGTAAATGGGCGGTTTCTTGTAATCAACAGATAGACAAAATGGAGTTCTAAGGAAATAGCTATGAGTTTGGTCAACTGGAACAACGGAATTGGCCAAAAACAGGGCTGAAAATCGGCAAAATCGCCAATGCGTATATGTCGCCGAGACTGCTAATTTTGCAGGAGCGTAATTCTGTGAGTTTTCGACCAAATTTCGTACTTTTGGTGTCGTTGTTATCGGGAAAAGATTCTCTATTATTTCATACGAAAAAATAATTTTTTTTTTTCCAAAAATTTATCGACATAGAATGACAGTTTCAGAAAGGGGCCTGCGACAGTCAAAGGGTTAACATTTCTGTCATGATCCCATCAGTTCTCAGCTGCTTTACCCCCTTTCATTCTACGTAATGCCTCATGCAAATCCCCCTTACTCACATCCTGCTCTTCTTCACTCCTAAAAGACGATATACCTCCCTGGCCAGTGCATGAAATTACCACCTCCCTTTCTTCGTCGACGTTTAAAAGTTCCTCAAAATATTCTCACCATCTACCCAATACCTCCATCTCCCCATCTACTAACTTCCCTACTCTGTTTTTAACTGACAAATAAATTCGTTCCCTAGGCTTTCTTAACTTATTTAACTCACTCCAAAATTTTTTCTTATTTTCATTAAAATTTCTTGACAGTGCCTCTCCTGCTCTATCATCTGCTCTCCTTTTGCACTCTCTCACCACATTTTACCTTACTTTTACTCTCAATATACTCTACTCTTCTTATAACACTTCTGATTTGTAAAAGCCTCTCATAAGCTACCTTTTTCTCTTTTATCACACCCTTTACTTCATCATTCCACCAATCACTCCTCTTTCCTCCTGCACCCACCCTCCTATAACCACAAACTTCTGCCCCACATTCTAATACTGCATTTTTAGAACTATTCCAACCCTCTTCAACCCCCCTACTACTCATACTTGCACCAGCCCACCTTTCTGCCAATATGTAGTTGCTTACATCTCACCCAAACTTCTTCCTCCCTTAGTTTATACACTTTCACCTCCCTCTTACTTGTTGCCATTTTCCTCTTGTCCTATCTACCTCTTACTCTAACTGTAGCTACAAAGTTATGTCTTAATATTAATATCATACACGTGGGATAAAAGGTATTTCTTGCTACTTCACCTTGCACTTAGATCACACTACACATGCACGTACATGTATATCCTTGGTGGGATATGGCCGGTTCATTGAAAAAAAAAATTAATGCCATATATCTCACTTCTATATAAATAATTTTTTTTGTCTTCTTAATTCATAATTATCTCTATACAATATACATGTATATATTATATGATTCCAAGTCCAAATTATTGTAATTATTTTTTTCTAACACATCGGCCATTTCCCCACCAAGGCAGAAACACTGTCATCATCACTCATTCCATCATGCTAATACTACAGTTCATAAACTGCAACAAATCTCCACCCCTACTTCAGTATATAAACTGAATATTGCACTTAATGAACTTGTAGAAAGTGTACAACAACATAAGAGGTAGAACAAGATATGTTATGAGTCCTAAAATCTTCACTGTATGGAATATCATGATATGTAGAGTGAAAAATATTTGGAAGGTGTTCTGGGAGGATGTTGCACCGCCTAACAAATCTTTTGCTTTCATGGGGAGTGATTTCCGTGTGCAGATTTGGGACTAGTCCCTCTAGGACTTTCCAGGTGTAAATTATGATGTATTTTTCTCATCTGCTTGTGTCAATATTAATGTTGTTTACAATATAAATATATGTTTTTCTAAACGGCTGTGTTTCATTGAAACTCTTGTTGTTCAAGAGAGCTGTGTTTTGGCATGAGATGTCCTGAATGTTATTTTGTACCCTAGACTAGCAGTTATCGTGTGTATGGTCACAGGAGGTAAGTTATCCATTTATTATCAAATAGGATCTCATATCTATGCAATAATTTATTTATTTATTTATTTATTTAAAAATTTGAGCACACATACAGAGGTACAACAAATACAGGTAAGAGCAGTATGCCAAAGCCACTTATACTATGCATAGCATTACGGGCTGGCTTAAAATTAACTTAAGATTAACTAAGCAATGATGAAATCAGTGATAAAACATTAATGTAAACAGGTTACTATAAAGCACAAGTGAGTATTACAAAGACAGGTCATATGGTTGTATGCATTGTTGTACATTCAGTAGAATGGAGTATTCTGTTAGGTAGTGTATTTAAAAATAATAAAGTTAGATTGGGTTTTAGGTTTAACATTTATGTGATATAATTGTGAGAAACATTTAAGATATACAATTTATAAGGTTCAGTTATTCAGTATTTATTTGGTTTTGGTGAGTAAGTGATCTTTGAGAAGAGACTTGAATTTATAAACAGGTAGTGTTTCTTTTATATTTACAGGTAATGAATTCCAGATTTTAGGGCCTTTTATGTGCATTGAGTTTTTACATAGTGTGAGATGGACACGAGGAACATCAAAGAGTGATCTGTGCCTTGTGTTATGGTCATGTGTTCTGTTGAGGTTGGCAAGGAGATGTTTGAGGGGAGGGTTAATATCAGAGTTAAGTGTTCTATGTATGTAATAGGTGCAGTAGTAAGTATGGATGTTTTGTATGGTGAGGAGGTTTAGTGTATTGAATATTGGTGGAGTGTGCTGCCTATAGTGAGAATTTGTTATCATTCTAACTGCAGCCTTTTGTTGGGTAATTAGTGGTCTGAGATGGTTACTTGTTGTTGAGCCCCATGCACAAATTCCATAGGTGAGATAGGGGTAAATAAGAGAGTGATATAGGGCCAGGAGGGCTGACTGTGGAGCATAATACAACAGTAAATGTAAAAAGGCCAGTAATATATATAGTTAATGAAGCAGAGGAGTTGAAAGGGGTGGTTATGGCCTCTCACATTTTGACAGGTCAGAGAAGTCACTGTGGGTGAAGCAGTTTAATACAGACTTGCGATTCTGTGTAAAAGCTTAGTAAAACGTAATACGCACATTATGTTGTTATTATGTTCCATATAACCACAGCTGAGATTTAAAAATAAAGGTTATGTACAGCAGTGGTTTCTGAGTGTTAGTTTTGCAGTATGATTGCTAAGTGTTACAATATGTAGTTAAATAGCGCAGGAAGTGAGAATTACAAAATATAATTACCGACTATGCCAAGATCAAAGCAGTGAGTGTTATGTGATCTGGGTACAGTGTTAAGTCATTTCACTATTGAGTGTTATCTCCATGTGCAGGATGAGTGTTAGCTGGTGTTACTTACATAGTTTCATCATAATTAGGGTTGTGGAGAGTGGCGAGAACCTCAAGGAAGTCTTTGGGTGCATACACTGGACGGATCATGGAGAGGTCTCCAGGAGGACATAAAAATACATGAGTTAGTATTGTTACTATAATAACTTTCTCCTCTCATGCATTATGTTTCCACATCTCTTCTTTTTCTAAGCCTCAAGCTCCTCTGACTTGTGCTAAGTGAACCTCCTCTCTGATCTATATAATAATAAATTCACTGCAGATCAAGAATGCAAATATTATACAGCAAACTCGGCCAAAACTGTCTTCAGCAACACCAGAAACATTTGTGCTTAACAACAATGTCGGATCCCTAGGTAACCACTATGATATTAGCAAACCCATATATATACAGTAGCCCCCCCAAATTCACGAGGGTTATGTTCCAAGACCAATCATGAATTTGGAAAAACTGCAAATTTATTTATTTATTTATTCGTCTTTGCAAATAGTACACTGAGATTATGTATGTATTTACAACAATGGGTTGCAATGCAAAGAGAGCTTCTATTATGCCTAGGCATTATGGACACGATTAAAAAAATGCCTATGCGAACTGTTATAGTTTACACCCTAAATATGCCCCAAAACACTTTAATTTAATTTCAAACTCAGCTTCATACAACACCCTTAAAAAAAAAAATGTAGAGATAAACTCGTATAAAGTACTGTACTCCTATGTCTCCCGGAGTGCTAGACTAAAATACCGATGTTACCCCTCATATGTACTGTAATTCATGCAAGCCCATTTTCTTTGGTATGCTGTAATTCCTGCAACCCTGTTTTCTTTGGTATACATACAGTAAATATATGGTAATTTAAATTATACTTTTCTTAATATTTAGCATTAAAATGCATAAAAAATTATATAAGTATTGTCACGAAAAAATCCAAAAAAATTTTTGCGAATTTGCCGGGATTTCCGTGAACAATTATTAGTTAGGTTCTAAGGAAAAATCCACTGTATGCCTCCATGGAGAAGTGGAAAAGAATTCCTCTTCCATAAGCCCCTTGTTCCCCACATTGCGACTGCAATGTGGGGAACAAGGGGCAAGTAACCCCTACTCCTATATATATTACTAAATTTATTAAGAGAAACTTTTGTTTTTCTTATAGGGTCACCCTGCTTCAGTGGGATATGGCCGGTTTGTTGAAAGATACGTGTATGTGTGTGCGGTGTGTGTATTCACCTATTTGTACTCACCTATTTGTGGTTGCAGGGGTCGAGTCTTAGCTCCTGGCCCCGCCTCTTCACCGGTTGCTACTGGGCCCTCTCTCTCCCCGCTCCATGAGTTTTATCAAACCTCGTCTTAAAACTGTGTATGGTTCCTGCCTCCACTACGTCATTTTCTAGGCTATTCCACTGCCTTACAACTCTATGACTGAAGAAATACTTCCTACTATCTCTCTGACTCATTTGTGTCTTCAACTTCCAATTGTGGCCTCTCGTTTCTGGTCCCCCCCCTGGAACACCTGTCTTTGCCCACCTTGCTATTCCACGCAGTATTTTATATGCGTTTTGTTCCCCCTGACCCCCCTTTCCTCCATGCGTCAGGCCTTTTCCCTTATGGCGGGGGTGTGTGTGTGTGTGTTTTGTGTGTTGTGGTGTGCGGTGTGTGTGTGTGTGTGTTGTGTGTGTGTTTTTGTGTGTGTGTTGTTGGTGGGGTGTGTGTGTGTTTGCGGTGTGTGTGTGTGTGGGGTGTGTGTGTGTGCGGTTGTGTTGGGGGTGTGTGTGGTTTTATTACCTTTTTTCCTGGGCACATGTCGATTAACAGTAGGCCGTTGTATACGAGTACTGTATGTTATTTTACATTTTGCCCTAGGCACATGTCGATTAAATAGGCCTGTTGTATATATAGTGTTGCGGTATCACCTTTTTGTACTCACCTTTTTGGGGTTTTGAAGGGGGTCGAGTCCTACCCCTGGCCCCGCCTTTCCCATTTCTACTGGGCCTCTCTCTCCCCCCCCATGGCTTTTTCAAACCTCGTCTTAAAACTGTGTAGGGGTTCTGCCTCCACTACGTAAATTTTTAGGCTATTACTGCCTTACAATCTATGACTGAAGAAAACTTCCTACAACTCTCTGACTCATTTGTGTCTTCAACTTCCAATTGGGGCCCTCTTGTTTCTGTGTCCCCTCCCTGGAAATCCTGCCTTTGCCCCACCTTGTCATTCCACCATATTTTATATGTCGTTATCATGCCCCCCCTGACCCCCTGTCCCCCTGTGCACCGTTTTCCCCTTTAAATCTTTCTTCATGGGACATTCCCCTTCTCGGGAAAACAACCCTTTGTTGCAACCTTTGTACTTTTCTAGTTTCTTGACGTGCTTTTAAAGTGGGGGTTTTCCAAAACGGTGCTGCATACCCAGTAGGGCCTGACATACAGGGGTTAAGTGTCTTGAATTTCCTTAAAAGGGTATGGGAACTGTTCTCGGGTTTCCCAGGCGCCCAATTGCAGCGTTATCTGATTGATTTTGGGGGTGTGTGTGGTGTGTTGTTGTGTAGTGTTGTGTGTGTGTTGTGTGTGTGTGTGTGGGTTTTGTGTGTGTGTTGTGTGGTGTACTCACCTAGTTGTATTCCCTAGTTGGGGTTTTGCAGGGGTCGAGCCCAAGCTCCTGGCCCTGCCTCTTCACGGGTTGCTACAGGTCATCTCCCCTGAACCATGGCTTTATCGTCCTCGCTTAAAGTTATGTAGGATTCTGCCTCACTACACCCCCCCGCTTCCCAAACTATTCCACTTCCGACTACTTGGGGCTGAAAAAATACTCCTAACACCCCTGTGTTCATCTGTGTCTTAAACTTCCAACTGTGCCCCCCTTGTTACTGGCCAATCTCTGGAACATCCTTCTTTGTCCACCTTGTAAATTCCTCTCAATTTTGTACGTCGTTATCTTTCCCCCCCCCTTTCTTCCTGTCCTCCAGTGTCGTCGGGTTTTGTTTTCCCCTTAAAACCCTCCTCTGGGACATACCTCTTAGCTCGGGGGACTAGTCTTTTTGCAACCCGCACTTTCTCTAGTTTTTTTTTACTCCCGGCTAGGTGGGGTTTTCCAAAACGGGGCGATACCCAATTGGTGGGGTGTGTATTGTGTGGTGTGTGTGTGTGTGTTGTTTGTGTGTGTGTGTGTGTGTGTGTGGGTGGGGTGTGTGGGGTTGCAGTGTGTGTGTGTGTGTGCAGTGTTGTGGGTGTGCAGTGTGTGTGTTGTGTGTGCAGTGTGGTGTGTGTGTGTGCAGTGTGTGTGTGTGTGCAGTGTGTGTGTGTGTGGTGTGTGTGGGTGTGTGGTGTTTGTGTGGGGGTGGTGTGGGGGGTGTGTGGTTTTTGTGTTTGTGTGGGGTGTGCATTTTTGTGTGTGTTTTGTACTCCCCTTTAATTTGGTTGCGGGGGAGACCAGCTCCTGGCCCCCTCTTCACTGATCGCTCTTGGACCCTCTCTCTTCTGCCCCCTGACTTTGTCATACCTCTTCTTAAACATGTATGGTAGCCTCCCCTACTTCACTTGCAAGGCTATTCCACTTGCTGACAACTCTAACGAAGAAATACTTCCTAACTCCCTGGACCGTTAGCTTCAGCTCCAGTTGTGACCCCTTGTCCCTGTGTCCCCTCTTGGAACTCCTATCTCTGTCCACCTTTCTATTCCCCCCCGCAGTATCTTGATTCGTTATCATTCCCCCCTGACCATCTGTCCTCCAGTGTCGTCAGTCCGTTTTCCAAACCTTTCCTCAACGACATTCCCTTGAGCTCTGGGATCCCCTGTTGCAAACCTTTTACTTTCTCAAACTTCTTGCGCTTGACCGGGTGTGGGTTCCAGACTGGTGCTCCCTACTCCGTAGGGGCCCAAACTACACAGTGTACAGGTTTGAACGATTCCTTTTTAAAGGTATTAAACCTTTCTCGGGGTTTCCAGGCGCCCTATGCGCAGCGGTTTTTTGGGTTGATGTGTGCCCCGGGTGATGTGTCGGTTTTATGGTCACCCCAAAGGGTCTTTCCTTGAGGTCTGTATTTTTGGTCCACCTAGCCTATACTCTGCCCGGGGGGTTTCTTTCCCCCTCCCCAATTTTTCATGATTAGCTTTTTGGCTGGTTTAAATTTCGAGAACGTTACTGGACCACTGTCCAGCCTCCCCAGGTCTCTTTGCAGTCCGCTCATCCTCGTCCGATTTAATTCTTCCACAACTCCGTATTGCAACAGGGACCTTCAGAGTCTATTCCTTCCATCTGTCTTCACATATATAAAAAATAGCATGCCAAAAAATGCCCCCTTTTGGGACCCCCTCGTAACAGGCGTCCACTGTGATACCTCGTGTGGGGTGGGGGGGGTGGTGTTGTGTGTGGGGGTGTGTGTGTGTGTGTGTGTTGTGGTTTGTGTGTGTTTGTGTGTGTGTGGGGTGTTTTGGTTTGGTGTGCAGTGTGTGGTGTGGTGTGTGTGTGGTGTGTGTGTGCAGTGGTGTGTGTGCATGTGTGTGTGTGTGTGGGCATGTGTGTGTGTGTGTGTGTGTGTGTTGTGTGTGTGGTTGTGTGTGTGGTGTGGTGTGTGGTGTGTGTGTGTGTGTGTGTGTGGGCAGTGGGGTTGTGTGTGTTGTGTTGTGTGTGTGCAGTGTTGGTGTGTGTGGTGGTTGTGTGTGTGTGTGTGTGTGTGTGTGTCAGTTGTGTGGTTGTGTGGTGTGGTGTGGTGTGTGTGTGTGTGTTGGCAGGGGGGTTGGGGTGTGTGGGTTTTGGGGTTTTGTGGTGTGGTGTGTGTGTGTGGTGTGTGTGTGTGGTGTGTGTGTGTGTGCAGTTGTGTGTACTCACCTATTTTGTACTCACCTATTGGGGTTGGGGGGGGGGGCAACCCGATCCGGGCCCCCCCTCTTCACTGATCGCTCCGGTTCCCTCTCCCTGAGCCGTGAGCTTTTCATACCTCTGCTTAAAGTATTATGGTTTCCCCTCCACTAATCCTTCCCAAACTATTCCACTTACGCTCCGTGGCTGAAAAAATACTTCCTAACATCCCGGGATTCATCTGTGTTTTCAGTTTCCCAACTGTGTCCCCTTTTGTCTGTGCCAATCTCGGAAACACCCTTTCT